CTGACCAGATCAATATCCCAGGAGGTTAATTGACTTGATGCTATACTCTGATTAAAAAGTGTTCCTTTAATTTCTTTGAGAAGTGTATGTTTTCCTGAGATCTTACCTTGGCTTCCTTTCGCCTGGTTTCTGCATTGCTACGGGTGAAGGTATTCTCCCGTAGGGTACTCCCTAAGCATAGTGCAGAAATGTGGTAGGTGTGTCCAAGGAGTACGCAGCAACCCGGGTGCATACTGTCCTGTAGTGAAGTCCTCATGGCAAATTGGCAGGAGGAAGTGCCTGTGTACTTATAAGCTCTAGGAGAAAGTGATGGTAAAGTGTGTGACCTGTGGTGTGAAGCAAAACCTGGCCACCCACCTGAAACTCTGGTTGACTTGGCACCAAGCTTGAAGAGATTAGACTATAAAGTGAATACATTCCAAACTGTTCCCATTTTTACGGTAACAGACCCCATCTTACTTGTCCGTATACAAGATCCAGGCTTCACAGTGGACATACTGCGGAAGGGTCTTGGTTTCATAGAGATATATACCACAGTATTGTATAGTATTCTGCAGCTAACTATGCGAGTTGCACAAAATGTTGGTGTGCACCCATGAAGAATCCAGTGCCCAAAGCAACATTACAGGCTGTCCTAGGCCCTACATATTGGAACATCCCTGCACACACCTGTCACTGTAGAAGATAAAAAAAAAAAAAGTTGCTAATTAAAAACATGTCACTGAGAAGGGCTGGGTGGGTCTGGAACAAGATGCATCACCACTCCCGCTGCAGACTCTTCCTGTGGCAGACCTAGACTCTACCACTTCATGTGAAATCTTACCCCCGATAGGTACTACCTTAAATCAGTCTTGGCCAAAATGGGATGCCATACCATGTCCAGTGCACAGTGATAAATTGCAGCATGTCTGCATTCTAATGCAGATAACTGCAGCACAACTCCAGGCTGCATTTCAGTGTGACTAGAACACATAGAAAACAATTGTTTTCTGTGTGTCCTTGCAGTGACTGGCATTCTTCCAGTGTGGGAAAAACACCATTCACCACACTAGTGTGAATTGGCCCTAACAATTTTCCTAAATGCCACAATTTAATTGTGAAGACTTCCTAATTACCGATTGCAGGTTCATGGAACCATGAAAGCAGCACATCTGGACTAGGGTGCCAAGGTACCAATTAATCCACCACTTCTTTTGAAAGAGCAGCTGAACTCCAAGCAGACATTAAAAACAGCAGTGACTGAATGTGATTAGGATATATCAGCATTTTAAATTGCAGCTAGTGTAATTACCACAATGTGACGATTTAAACCTGTTGGCACCCCCTGTACAGGAGCACTCAGATTGGGAGAGGAAGTGGCAGTAGAGATAAGATATGCCACCAAGCTGACTGTGCTCTGTTGTTGGAATGTTTAAATCTCAGAACTGTGTACAGAAATACAATTCCTTAGGAGAGGTATAACAGCTCTATTATACAGTATCGCACAGAAGTGAGTACACCCATCACATTTTTGTAAATATATTATATCTTTTCATGTGATAACACTGAAGAAATTACATTGTAGCTAAAGTGTCAAGTAGTGAGTGTACAGCTTTTATAACAGTGTAAATTTGCTGTCCCCTCACAATGACTCAACACACAGCCATTAAGTCTAAACCACTGGCAGCAAAAGTGAGTACACCCCTAAGTGAAAATGTCCAAATTGGGCCCAATTAGCAATTATCCCTCCCCGGTGTCATGTGACTGTTAGTGTTATAACGCATCAGGTGTGTTAAATGTGGTGTTATCGCTCTCACTCTCTCATACTGATCACTGGAAGTTCAACATGGCAAAGAACTCTCTGATGATCTGAAAAAAATCGTTGCTCTACACAAAGATGGCCTAGGCTATAAGAAGATTGCCAAGACCCTGAAACTGAGCTGCAGCGCGGTGGCCAAGAACATTCAGCGGTTTAACAGGACAGGTTCCACTCAGAACAGACTTTGCCATGGTCGACCAAAGGAGTTGAGTGCACGTGCTCCAAGTCATATCCAGAGGTTGTCCTTGGGAAATACACGTATGAGTGCTACCAGCATTGCTGCAGTGGTTGAAGGGGTGGGGGTCAGCCTATCAGTGCTCAGACCATACACCGCACATTGCATCAAATTGGTCTGCATGGCTGTCATCCCAGAAGGAAGCCTCTAAAGATGATGCACAAGAAAGCTCACAAACTGTTTGCTGAAGACAAGCAGACTAAGGACATGGATTACTGGAACCGTCCTGTGGTCTGATGAGACCAAGATAAATGGATTGGTTCAGATGGTGTCAAGCGTGTGGCGGCAACCAGGTGAGGAGTACAAAGACAAGTGTGTCTTGCCTACAGTCAAGCATGGTGGTGGGAGCGTCATATCTGGGGCTGCATGAGTGCTGCCGGACCTGGGGAGCAGAAGCAGAGCATGATCGCCTCCCTTTGGGGACTGAGCCACAGGGCAGTATTCCAACATAACGACCCAAACACACCTCCAAGATGACCACTGCCTTGCTAAAGAAGCTGAGGGTAAAGGTGATGGACTGGCCAAGCATGTCTCCAGACCTAAAAACACTATTGAGCATCTGTGGGGCATCCTCAAATGGTGGAGGAGCGTAAGGTCTCTAACATCCAGCTGCTCCGTGATGTCATCATGGAGGAGTGGAAGAGGACTCCAGTGGCAACCTGTGAAGCTCTGTTGAACTCCATGCCCAAGAGGGTGAAGGCAGTGCTGGAAAATATTGGTGGCCACACAAAATATTGACACTTTGGGCCCAATTTGCACATTTTCACTTAGGGGTGTACTTGATTTTGTTGCCAGCAGCTTAGACATTAATGGCTGTGTGTTGAGTTATTTTGAGGGGACAGCAAATCTACACTACTACAATGTATAGTGAGTGTACAGCTTTGTATAACAAAATGTAATTTCTTCAGTGTTGTCACATGAAAAGATAGAATAAAATATTTCCAAAAATTGCGAGGGGTGTACTCACTTCTGTAAGATACTGTATGTATTTCAGCTGTGAAATTCAGCTTTAATGGCAAAATGAATAGTACACAAATGAAGCCGAACACATGCAACAAGTTGTACAATGTAATAATCATTTATTTTGGTTTCCTTCATTTTTGGAAGGGGGTGATAAGGGAAGCCGGACAGAAAGATTTTGGTTTGTACAAGATCAATACCGTTTGTTATACAGTTAAATTCAGGTTTTAACAAGTCATGCATCTTTTGGATAAAAATTTACTCTGATCTGTGCAATGACTTTTTTTCCTCTTACTCTAGTTTACAGTGCATTGTCATAAATCACACAGGTTTTTACATAGTGCAAACCATTGTTGTGCTTGTGTACAATTCCCTTGTGTCTTGCATTTAATAAAAAAACCCTGTACATGAACACCTTGAAAAGCCTTAAAACTAATAATGCTGACAATATATCTTCCAACACTCTCTGCTATAAGAACTGTTCTTTCATTCCCTTAAAGTCAAATGATATTACCAGACAAGTCAGCAATAATTGCACTTTTTAAATGTTTACTGAACCAGTGGCAAGGACGAACCCCCAGCCCCCTAGCAGCTTTGACAACATGGAAAAAATATTACCTACAGAAGGAAAAGGACTATGAGGCTTATTTATTAAGGCAGTGATCCATAGAAACCAATCACATCATCTTTCACGGATCCAGATAGTAGACTGAAATCTAGTTATTCTTGATCTTTGAAGCTTATGATTGCAAACTGCAGTGCCTTACTAGATAAGCCATCGGTGTTTAAGGGATTATTTAAAAAGCGTGCAGAAAGGTTTTCTTTACGTGTACCTGTATATCTCTAAAGGACCATGGTAAAATATTAAATACCACCACTTTAAAATACCACTACCCTAACTTAATCAAACCCACCCCTGCAGCATGTTTAGAATGAGAAAGAGGACATTAATAAAGTGAAGTAATTGGCTTTCCATTGTGCAGGCCTTTTTTACCTTTTAAACCAGTATATACAAAATTGCAGGATAAGAGATCTGATATGGCAACCAGGTCGGTGACTTGAAATTAAAGATTGATGGCATTATTTAATTAGGCAGAGGTCAAATGTGCAAAGTGCAGTGCAGTACCGCCCTACCCAAAAAAAAAAAAAAAAAAAAAAAAAAAACAGTAAGCTATTAATTTATTGTTCTGACTTGCTCTAAAGAAATGTATACTATGGCCTTGCCTGAACTCGCAACAGTCAGGTTAGACGGACACATTTCACACAGTCTTTTAAGTTAAATACGCTGCATTCAAATGTGTATTGCACTGTAAAACATTGTATCTGCTTAAAACACATCATCAGCTCAGCATGGTAGCAGAGAGATTTTGCTATATCAGCATACTAAGAACAATGTGCAATGTATAGATATTAGTACAAATGTTCAAAGCGCTGTCACAAGGATCATACAAAATCCTACAAACAGCCAAGTAAAAGTGTCAGTGAAACACTCCTGAAAGAAAAAAAAAAAGTACCCGATTTGACCTCAACCCACCAGCACATCATCATAACTCTTTGCACTGCCTTGTTAAATAAGCCTGCTACTGTTACAGAAGCACACAAACGGAGCAAGGAAGAAATTAGGGACAGTGTGGATTACACCAAATCGTGACATGGATAGAACTGACATGCACACATGTGCTGGTTTACATTCACATCTGCTGAGTCATTTAGAGCATACATCAAACATCCACAAAATAATATTACTACAGGGAAGAGAGATCAAGAAAAGAAGGGGCATTTAGAGATTGACATTCATATTAGAGATGTCCAAAATGACTCAAAGCACATATAGCCGTCCTTCACATTTTAAGGCCTACTTTGAATTTTTTTGGTCACAGTAGAGAAGATAAACATAAAAGTGACCAATAAGGCATTGTAGAAATGTCTTCCATATTATTCCTATGATCAGCCAGATTTGAACTTTCTATTGTGGATTGGTAGCAGGATATACTGAAGATGGTCTTTTTATACATTGTTACTGGCATAGAGTTCATCAATTTGTTTCTGGAAGTATTTTCGCAGCTCTGGCCTCTTGGCTTTCATGGTGGGAGTCAGCAGGCCATTCTGGATTGAAAACATTTCTGGGTATAAAGCAATGTCTTTTACCTGCAAGAAAAAGTAGTAATAGAATAACTCAGAAAAAAGAAAAAAAAGGAAAAAAAAAAAAAAAAAAAACGCACTGGTTAAACTCTGACACCCTCCCCCCCAAATAAATACATTTCTATTTAACTCTTAATTTAAGTCCAAATTTCTTCAGAAATTTCACTACCGATCTGTGTTGCTGGCTCACAGTTTTATCAAAAATAAGTCCAATTACAGATCTCCACTGCAATATGAATTTTTTCTTTGGTAAAATTTGTTTCAAGAGTTGCAGTCTAAAAAGGGATGCCAAGGCAGCTGCTTTTTCAGATGGTCATAGTTTTTATAGAACTCAGTGGCGTCACTAGGGTTGGTGTCACCCGGTGCGGTAAAGCATGGTGTCCCCCCGCACCAAGTATAGTCCCCCCCTCAGCACAGATTCCCCTTTTCCACAAAGGCTGCATTAACACTTGAGCGATTTGTAGCTTGAAGTTCAGAGCTCCAAAAACGGTCAAACTTAAAAAATCAATTGTTCTCCAAGGTGCCTGCCCACATCTGATCGTGTGAACAGGTACCATAAGAAAATAGCTTTAAGTTTGAATGTTTTTTGGAGCTTTGAGCTTCAAGCTACAAATCGCTCAAGTGTGAATGCCGCCTCAGTATAGACCCCTCCACCCCTCCACTAAGTACAGACCCCCATTCCCCAGTACAGTTTCCCCCCTTCCCTTGGGAGGGGAGAGGGCTTGTACTCTTTTGGGGGAGGTCAGATTTCAATTCCAACCCCCACTTCTAGCATCTAGGGTCCTCTCCCCTCCCAAAGTGCGCCCCCCCCCCCCCAAAACATATATCCTCTTATCCATCTTTTATAAATTGCCCCACTTCCTGGTCAGTCTGCTCTCCCCCCCCCCAAACCTCCTGGTCAGTCTGATTCCCCCCCCCCCCCCCCCAAACCTCCTGGCTATGTTTTCTTTCGGAGAGACAGAGTAAATAGGAAAGGTGGTGGTGTCTGTCTATGTGAGAAGTGATCTCAGAGTGAGTGTGAAAGAGGAACTTGTTGGAGAGTGTGATGAGGCTGAAATATTATAGGTGGAACTGCACATGGGGGTGCGTACTACAAAGGTAATCGTTGGTGTTTGTTATAGGCCTCCCAGTGTTAATGAGGTGGTGGAAACTCAGCTCCTTGCACAGATTGAAAGGGCTGCAAGGGCTGGGACAGTGATAATAATGGGGGATTTTAACTACCCGGAAACTGACTGGAGTAATTGTACTGCAGGAACAGATAAAAAGGGCAAACATTTTTAAACCTACTACAGGACAATTTTATGGTACAGTTCATAAAAGCTCCTACTAGGAATGATGCTCTGCTGGATCTGGTAATCTCAAACCTTGCAGAGCTTATTACGAATATCCATATAAAAGAACATCTGGGTAGCAGTGACCATTACAGTTAAATGAAATCATGTTAACAGCGAGCACATACGGAAAAAATAAAAAACGCTCAATTTCAAGAGAGCTAATCTTCCAAAGCTGAGAGCTGCTCTCCAAGACTTAGACTGGGAGGGAATATTGGCATCAATGAACACAACAAAGAAACGGGAGTTCTTCAAAAAGACTATGTGAACACACTGCGAAATATATTCCCATGGGCAACAAGTTTAAAAGGATAAAGATCAAACCTATGTGGCTTACGGACTAAGTTAAAAAAGCTATAGATAATAAGAAAAGAGCTTTTATTAAATATAAAAATGAAGTAAAGCTATCATCGTTTAAACATTACAAGGAATATAACAGAATATGCAAAAAGGAAATCAAGGCCGCAAAAACTGAAAACGAACGACAGATTGCAAAAGATAGCAGGACCAACCCCAAAAAATTCTTCAAATATATTAATAGTAAAAAAGGTCTGGTCTGAGCATGTAGGCCTTTTGCAAAATAATCTAGAGTGGGTGACTGGGGACAAAGAAGGAAAATTTATTTAATACCTTCTTCAGCTCTGTGTATACAAAGGACCGTGGGGGAGCTCTTGTCCATAATGGGCATGGTATTGACACAGCTCCAGATGATCCACATTGGCTCACAATTGATATGATCCAAAAATATTTAGACAGTTATCTAGACAGTATAAAAGGTGAATAAAGCACCTGGACCAGATGGCATACACCCACGGGTCCTTAAAGAATTGAGCTCTGTCATTTCAAAGCCATTGTTTCTAATTTTTAGGGACTCTAAATGACTGGCATAGTACCAATGGAAGGCCAATGTGGTGCCAATATTTAAAAAGGGGTCAAAATCTTTACCAAGTAATTATAGACCTGTTAGTTTCACTTCTATAGTTGGGAAGATACTGGAGAGTTTAATAAAAGACCACATAGATGAGTTCTTGCTGGAAAATTTTTTTTAAAACAACAGACAGCATGGATTCATTAAAGACAGAAGTTATCAAACAAATCTGATTTCTTTTTATGAGGGGGTGAGCAAAACCTTGGACAGAGGGGTGGCGGTGGACGTGGTATACTTGGATTTTGCAAAAGCATTTGACACAGTTCCCCACACATGGCTAATGTGTAAGGTAAACTCTACAGGCTTGGAAAAAATCTGTATGTAAATGGATAGAAAACTGGCTAAAAGATTGTATTCAGAGAGTAGTGGTTAATGATTCATACTCTGAATGGTCTAGGGTTGTCAGTGGTGTACCCCAAGGTTCAGTGTTGGGACCCTTACTTTTTAATATATTTATAAACGATATAGGGTCTGGGATTAAAAATCCCATTTCAGTCTTTGCAGATGACACCAAGCTGTGCAGTGGAATAATGTCCTTATAGGATGTCTCCAACTTACAAGCCGACCTCAATGCACTGTTTAATTGGGCAACTATGTGGCAAATGAGGTTTAATGTTAATAAATGTAAGGTTATGCACTTGGGGGCTAAGAATATGCATGCATCATACATACTAGGGGGAGTACAACTGGGGGAATCAATGGTGGAGAAGGATCTGGGAGTTCTAGTAGATTACAAGCTAATAATGGCATGCAATGCCAAGCTGCGGTTTCTAAAGCGAGCAAAATCCTCTCGTATTACAAGAGGTATAGACTCCAGAGAGAGAGATATCATATTACCCCTGTACAAATCATTAGTAACACCTCATCTGGAATATGCAGTTCAGTTTTGGGCACCAATTCACAAAAAGAACATTGGGGAACTGGAGAAAGAACAGAGAAGGGCAACCTAACTGATACGAGGCATGGAGGAGCTCAGCTATAAGGAAAGATTAGAGGAACTGAATCTGTTCTCTCGAGAAGAGGAGATTAAGGAAGGATATGATCAACATGTATAAATACATCAGTGGTTCATATAGGGAACTTGGTAAGAGCTTCATCACAGAGGACAAGGGGGCACTCTTTACGTTTGGAGGAAAAGAAATTTAATCTCCAACCACGGAAAGGTTTCTTCACAGTGAGAGCTGTGAAAATGTGGAATAGATTCCCTCAAGAGTTGCTTCTGGCCAGCTCAGTGGATTGCTTCATAAAGGGCCTGGATTTTTCTTAGATACACAGAATATAACTGGATATTAACATTTACAGGTAAAGTTGATCCAGGAAATATCTGATTGCCTCTCAGGGGATCAGGAAGGCATTTTTTCCCAGTAGAAGCAAATTGGATCATGCTTTGCTGGGTTTTTTGCCTTCCTCTGGATCAACTGTGGGTATAGGATTATAACTTTTTTTTTTTTTTTTTTTTTTTATGGTTGAACTGGATGGACTTTTGTCTTTTTTCAGCCAGACTATGTAACGTCAGATCAGTGTGGGACATCTACAGCAGTGTTCCTCCTCCTCCCCCCCTCCTCCTGTGTATATGTAAACAGCAAAGGAGGGGAGGTGGCTTCAATGCAGACTCTGCTCTGCTGTGTGAGACAGGGAGACAATCGGCGAGAGATGCAGATCAATCACTGAGGTGGTGTTAGTGTCCCTGCTGATGGGTGTCACCAGGACTGCTGTTAGAAATCATGGGGCCCCGTATAGGCTACCTGATGGTAAGCAACCGGAGATGGTCAGACTGCAGACATACTACAGGAGATGGTCAGAGAATGCAGACATACTACATGAGACAGTTGTGGGGAAGAGGCCCTTCCCCCATCAACATGGGGACAAGGTGCTTTGTAGTAGGGTGGGAGGAGGTCCCCTTCCCCAAAGCACTCCCCTCCCATGTTGAGGGCATGTGTCCTGGTAATGCTTGGGGGGGGGCTTGGCTTCCTGACCTGCATGTTTGCATAAGGGTCTGGTGTGTATTTTCAAAACAAATTTTCACGTGGGGGTCCCCTCAAACTCTATACCACTCCCGAAGGGACTTTTTTTTATAAAACAAAATTTTAATTGTCAGGTAATACCATGTCGGCGATTCTTTTTACATTCAGCTGTCAGTGGGAAATCCCGCTGACAACTGAAATATAAAAATGTTTTCATTACTAAAATACAGCATGACTTAACATACTTCATGCACTATTTTAGTAGCTGTGCAGTATCTCACCGCACACTCAGATATGGCAAGATATCGCTTAGTGAATTGGATCTTCTGTTCGAAGTTCACAATCGAACCTTTGATAGGTTTGAACGTAAACCGAACAGATGTGTGTTTGGCCCATCACTAGTCAGCGACTGCATTTATGCAATTATGCCTGAATCCAGTGTAAAAGTATATAATATTGGAGCCCTGCAAGATCAAGTCAGAAATCCTCTTTACAAAAGTACAACTAAGTGACAGAAGGCAGCAGCACTTCCAATCTTGTCTTATAAAACAGAAAACTGGTCAACAGCAAATGGAGGACAGTAAATAGTTAAATGATTCAGTGAACCTGCAAGCCTGAACCAGCAGTAATTCCTCCAAAAGACAACATCAAACAAGCCCTGCAGCACACAGAGCTCTAGCCCAAATAGCTCCAGAGAAACAAATGGACATCATCAATAGCGACGTGTCGCTGGTTACTTGGAATGCTGGACAGCTGCAGTGTCTTCAAAAAAATCTCATCAATGTGTTCAAGTAGTGAAGTGTGCAAGTTGGATTAGGCAGGCTTTCCCTGATCTGTATGTACCTGCACACTGCCTGAACACACTGGTAAGATTTTTTGAAGATGTTGCATGTTGCAGCTGGCATTCCAAGTGACCAGTGACATATTGCTGCTGATGTTCAGTTGATTATTTGAAACTATTTCGGCTAGAGCTCTGTGTGCTGCAGGATTTGTACTTCTGATCGGACCTTCTTGTGGCTCTCGGGCTTTAAGTACTTTGTGTTTCCCCTCCCGGCTCCCCCATTCAACCGCGATCAAGCCACCAGCATCTTCCATTTACAATCAAATGTGGTGGGCTTGGAGAAGGTGGGGGGTTACAGTGTTGGGTTAGAGGAGGAGCTACTGTTGCTGCAGCCAGTGCAGTACATTTGTCGTACCCCTCCCTCATACTCCGATAAGCAGCACTATTGGATACTACACTGTGTGTGCAGAAACCTGAAGCTGCCAGCTTGCTGGGTCCTCCCGTCAAAGTACGGTACTCCCTTATTGGCATCCCTGGGTGTCACCCCTCTGGCTGGTGTCACCCTTGAACAAACTTGAAGTTTTACATTAATGACCAGTTCACAAAGCATTAGCTTGCATATAGTCTAGCCTCGAGAGCAATGTGTACAACAGATGTCTACAAAGCATTTAACAAAATGACAAAACTATTTTTTGGATAGAGTAGGGAATGAATAAAACCCTTGTTTTTTTCCACCTCTCCTTCCCAGTCCCAGGGACACAATAGGAATGAGGAAAAAAAAAAGAAAATCTTTAAAATCAAAGTATGGGATTTTTTTTTCTCTAACTTATACTTACCTAGGTGGATGAAGCATTGATCCGATGCTGCATCTGTCCCACAGCACTGATCGCTCAGTTCTCCCAGCCGCTCTGAGCAGAGAGCAGGGACTGTCAGTTATCACTGTCTGCTATGGCCCACACCCAGCTGTGAAGGGCAGGAACAGTTGGCTCAGGCCCTTAGCAGCTTGCTGGAAGGCTGAGCCAGGTGCTGGTCCAGACATCTGGGTTGATTCTGATGTTAAGATCGGGATCTTTCCCCAGCTTGGACAACCTGAGTGATGTCAGTTGACTGTGGACTTTAGCTCGCTGTCAGCTGAAAATGGGTCACAGGAGTGCAGAATGAACTGCATTCTTATGATCCACAAATTACACCCAAACTAGCTTTGGCTGTACTTCTCCTTTAAAGCACGGGCAGCACAGTGGCTAAGTGAATAGCACTTCCACCTAGCAGCATAAGGGTTGTCAGTTTGAATCCCAACCACATTACTACCTGCCTGGAGTTTGCATGTTCTCCCTGTGTGGCTTTCCTCCGGGTACTCCCGTTTCCTCTCACACATCAAAGACATGCTGGTAGGTTTATTGGATCATGTCTAAATTGGCTCTAGTATGTGTATGTATGAGTGGGAGTAAGGAACCTTAAATTGTAAGCTCCTTGATAGGGGGAATCCTGTCAGACGCCAACACTGGTGCTCCACTGGTAGATTTCCAATTACAAAACCTTAGCTTTTCCATTACCTCTCCCACCGACAATAGCCACCAGGGCATATAAGGCAATATTCTTAGACAAAACAAACCTGACAAAAAGGTTCCAAACTATTACATTCTCTAAAGTTTTGGTTTTAGATATACTTTTAGAAAGGGTCTCACTCTCCTTGTTGGCTTTTTCAATTATATTATGGAAAATGCTGTAGGCAAAGTGCACACTTATAGCTGGGTGGAAATAACTCAATCCAAGTAGACTTTACTGCTGGGCTTCGTTACAAATCAGAGTGACTAGACTCAACAACTTTCAACCTTAAGGAGGAACTACACTTTTATGGAGAAAAAGCAAACAATCCTCTCTGGGTGGCATAAGGTACACTAATAGTTAACAGAATACACTCACTTGTTCAAATGTTTTTAATCCAGCTTCTTTTCCAACTTTCAAAAAATCTTCTAGAATGGCATTTTTAAAGTCCTAGAAAACAGAAAAAAATAATAGGATGTTCAGAAGCTTGGTTTGGATTCCTTCAGAAATGTGAAAGACACTTGAACTGCAAAATTTCCCTAAATTACAAAGAGCTTACATATATATTATGATTATTATACAGGATATATAGATCGCCAACAGTTTGCTCAGCGCTTTACAATATAACAGGAGACAATACAGTTCAATACAAGAGGGTTAGGAGGGCCCTGCTCCTTGGAGCTTACAATCTAAGATACTTTATTACTGTACATAGAAACATAGAAGAGTGATAGCAGAAAAAAAAATGCAGTCAGAGTCTGCCTCATTTTTATTTATACATACATTTTTTTTTTTTTAAACTTTTTTGTCTGAATATAGATCCGTTTGTCCCAAGCAGGTATGAATCCACTTACTGTTGACTGGCTCACTACCTCTGCTGGAAGTATATTCCAAGCATCAACTACACTTTCAGTAAAATAATACTACTTTCTAAGATTAGCTTTCAACTTTCCTTCCGCTAGTTTGAGGTCATGTCCCCGTGTTCTTGATCTTGGCTTCAGATTGAAAATACTGCCCTCCTGAACCTGATTTACCCCCTTGATGTATTTAAAGGTTCCAATTATGTCCCCTCTTTCCTCCAGAATGTACATATTACGTTTCTAAAGTCTCTCCTGATATGTTTTATCCCCCAGACCTTTCACCATTTCTGTTGCTCGTCTCTGGACTTGTCCGATCTTCCTGTTCGATCTTATCAATATCTTTTTGTAAGCAAGGTCTTCAGAACTGGATTCTAAATGAGGTCTAACCAGTGGTGCATCATCTATGAGTGCAAAGTGTTCACTGCACATGTGCACTGAGGGAAGGTGCCCACTGTGCCCTGAGGCACTGCACCCATGGATGATTCTCGGGCTGGCATGAGTTAAGTGTCCCTGCATACAGTGTCCCCTCTACTGACCGGCCCCCTCCCTCTTAGCTCAGTCTTAGTCTCCTGGTGACATGCTGTTCCCCTCCCTGGGCTCCTCTGTGGGTGACTGCTGGGTGTCTCTGCTCTGTCCGGTGAGTAGTGTGTCCTGCTTGGTGCCAAGTTGTCCTGCCCATAGCCAGGCTACCTCTCCCTCCACCTCCTCCAGCTGCTGCAGAACTTCTTGGGGGGGGGGGGGGGTTCGGACAGGTCTGCTGGTGTTGTAGTGCGGGGCAGTGATTGGCATCTGTGGGATTCCCAAACCTCATACAAAATGACCCCCCTCCTGCTCTTCACCTCCCAACAATAACCCCCTCTCTGCTCTCCACCCTAAACAAATAACCAACCTCCATGCTCTTCACCTCCAACAATAACCCCCTCTCTGCTCTCCACCCTCAACAATAACCACCATGTTTAGCCACTTGCCTACTGGACACACTTCTACCCCCTTCCTGCCCAGGCCAATTTTCAGCCTTCACAGTTCATTGTGCGGTCATGCAACACTGTGCCCATATGAAATGTTTATCATTTTTTTAAAACAGAGCTTTCTTTTGGTGGTATTTAATCACCTCTGGGTTTTTTATTTTTTTCTAAACAAACCAAAAACTGAATATTTTGAGAAAAAAAAAAAAAAAAAGTTTTAGTTTCGGTTATAAAATTTTGGCAATAAGTGATTTGTTTCCTTCACGGATGTGCGCTAATGAGGCTGCAGTGATGGGCATTGATAGGCAGCACTGATGGGGAAGCACTGGTAGGTGACATTGATAGGTATTGCCAGGCATCACTCATATGGCACTGATAGGCAGCACTGATAGACGGCACTGAACGGCAGTTCAGATGGGCACTGATATGTGGCATTGATGTGCACTGGTAGGCACGGATATGTGGCATTTTTATGGCACTGGCAGGTGGCATTGATGGACACTGACAGGTGGCACTGCTGGGGCTACACTGATCATCAGGGCATGGATCATCAGTGCTCAAATGATCAGTGTTCATGTCCCCTCTGAGGAATGCAGATTACCGGCTCTCCTCAGGAGCTGTCAGTGTGACAGCTGGTGAGGACAGAAATGCGATAACCGGCATTTCCTTATTTATATGCGATCAGCTGTGACTGGGCACAGCTGATCAAATGACAAAGGACGTCATATGACATCCTCCCACAACGGGAGAACCGCCTTGCGCCCGTCATTTCCTAATATGGCGGGAGGCGGTTAATGATGGGGTTAGTATGGGGGAGGGGGGTCCGGTGTAATCATGGGGGTAGTTTCGGGGAGGGATGTGTGTAAAATGATGGGGAAGGGGTCTTGTGATCCTGTGTAATGATGGTATGTGCTTTATTCTATAAACAGGCTCAGTGTGAAATGCACTAGGTGCTATTCCCTATATAACACTGATCTCTATACACTGAATGCTATTAACTATATATAACACTAATATCTGTACACTGAGTGTACAGGCATACCTCCAGGGATATCAGCCCTATTGCAGCATTTGTGTAATCTGTAAAAAGACATACCTTACCCACCAAACCTTTAGTTTTATTGCTTACATATATATTAAATAGAACAGGACCTTGTAAAGACCCATGGGGTACACTACTAGTGGCGGTTCTCTATTCTAAATGAACACCATTTAAAGCCACACTCTGGTATCTATCCTTTAGCCAACTGCATATCTACTGGACAGCCCAAGGGTTATGTCCTAGATTGTAAACGTTTTATTACATCATAATGTGGAACTGTATCAAATGCATTGCTAAAATCAAGATAGAATATGTTCCCAATAACACCCTGGTTCAAAACATTAGTGATATTAGCAAACAAATCTGACTGAATTCTTTTTTACTTTTGACTATGATCTGCCCTCAGTAAAGCCATGCTGCTTTGGGTCCAGCAAGTTGTGTGTTTTCAAGTCATCAATGACCCTTCTATTTAGGAGTGATTCCATTAACCTGACAACAGATGTTAAGGGGTAAGGACATCTCTAGGCGCATGTTACACCCATATTTAGGGTGTAACATTGTCCAATGCACCAAAATCCGGCCGCCAGTGCTCCCCTCTGACAGCTGGTGAGGATTATTCTCTCTGCACCCGCTCTGCCCACAAAGCTGCATCCATTCAGTTTACTGTGAATGAATAGACAAGTACCGTCAGCCATTGCAGCTCAGGGATTGTAGTTCTCAATGAACTGCAAGGGGCGCTGGTGAGGGCTCTTGTAGTTCAATGATATTTCCTGCCATTCAGTAGCTGTCTGCCCATATGGGAGGTAGCTGTGTCTGCATGATCCTGGCATTGCACCAGGAATCTGCTGAATGTGGGTGCAATGCTTTACAGGCTACAATGTACAAAAATAATAAATGCACATTTTTTTATTTACTTACAAAAAGATGTGCATTTATTTCTTCTTTTACAAAAGGTGAACTTTAAAATCACTGGCCTGATTTTGCCAGCTTCTAATAATTTTGAAAAAAACATTTTTTATAACATTTTATTTATTTTGCATAATTTGGTAATTTGTTGATAGCAACAGTAAGCCTTACAATGTATTGCAAAGATGTATACAGCACAACTTTGTTGGAAAAAAGTCAAATGGTATTCGCAATTATGGCATGAAGGATGAACAATGGCCTAGAGTTCTAAAACATGTACAGATATCATATACATACTGCCAGTGAATATAATATGGAGTTATACAACTTTAGTAGTTTCCCTTTAATCAAAATACATGCAGACATGTACGATAGTAAAAAAAATAAATAAATAAAATTCAGTTTATGTTGGCTGGATGAGAGGAAAAGTCACTGACAAACAGGACTGCATAGCAATGGAAATCTGTGCAGCTGCTTTTGCCACAATTACAGGTTAGTCCTATTGTGTTTCCATAGCTTGTGTCAGCAACACAAAGCAGCAGAAACATTATCAAATGACAGTTTAAATAAAAACTTGGAGATAAATATGGGATGTGCTGTAGCCAACTTGTTTTCCAAGGTGAAGGTTCCATGGCTGTCATTCCTGATCATTGTTTAGCTACCTAGTAAAATCACGGCCATGGATCAAGTATGCAGGCTAGGAGTTAAACCTTTCAGACTAACTGCATGCTTGGTTTAGGCCAGTGAATAATAGGCAGTAAAGCCAGGATTTGGAAGATGGCCCCGGGCCTGAGCCTTAAAAACCATGTCGGTAACGCTATCTCACAGTTCAAATCCTTAAGGTTCCATTTAAAAAAAAAAAAAAAAAAAAAAAAGTCATAGGGTGACAGTGTGGTCCCTGTATTACAACAAGTATGTGGATCAGCTTTAAATTTCATTAGCTTCCTAGCAAGAGAAAGCAGGCAACCAGCAATTTCAACCGGCGGTCAACAATGGCAACCCCCATACTGCTCACACTCATGACATCTGATATAGAACTAAATCAATACTGAATATATTTCTTACAAAACCTGGTAAGTGGAAAGACAATTTCTATATTTCTAAATTTGAATGGAGCTTTTCTTTAAAAGTATAAATAACATGTCATCAGACTATTATGAAGGAGGCAGTTGTACACTGCTATACACCTACCTTATTCTTGCACAGCTCTTCAAACGTTCCTTCCAATTTCCTCTTTTTGGCCCAACTGACTGCACTGTCAGGATCTGGCACCACAACACCAACAAGGAAAGCCTGCAAACAATGAAAGGACATTTTAATATGTGCTCCTTTCATATCATGTCAGTTTTTACAAAAGTTAAGTATTACCTGTAAGCTTTCTCCATAAACAAACACCTGTACCACTGGCTCACTTCTTGAGTAGATATTCTCAATTTTTTCTGGTGCAATGTATTCACCTTGGGCCAATTTAAATATGTGTTTCTTGCGATCTATAATTTTTAATGTACCGTTCTAAGAAGAGAAAAAAATTACATTTACTGGTATCTGGGATACATGCATTTAAAGATATTGAGAAACTATAGTCAAATTCTAATTGCAGCTGCAATACATATTCCCACATCTACATTGCTTTCCCAGCACAAGGGCTAGGGCAGGAAGTCTATTGGGCAACTAGTAGCTAAAACTAAAGATGCCACACTTCTCTTACATATAAAATGACGTAAGACACAAAAAAACATTCCCCCACCTGACACTCTAAATGCAAGACTAGTGGGTAAAATGATCACGTGAAGACATCTGGACTTGCAGGCACAATATGATTTTTTTTTTTTTAAACAGATATTCACATAATCATGCAATCTTGGATCTCCCCAATGGTTTTCATCTTAAGGTATGCAGCAGAATGGATAAAGTGCAACCAGAACCTTCCGACACAAATTGTAATTAGGAGTTTAGTGCCCATAGACGTGCATCACCAACCAATCTGGAACCATTATTTAGAAACCAGTAATAATAGACAGATCCTACCAAAATTGCAAGGCGGGAGTCTAAAGAATATGTACACCTTTAAATTCTTTAACATATACAGTGCCTTGAAAAAGTATTCATACCCCTTGAATTTTAACATTTTCTCATGTTACAACTAAAACCGTAAATGTTGTTGGGATTTTATGTGATAGACCAACACAAAGTGGCACATAATTGTGAAGTGGAAGGAAAATAAATGATTTTCAAAATTTTTTACAAATAAATATTGGAAAAGTGTGGCGCGCATTTTGTATTCCTCCACTGATTCAACTTTGTAGAACCACCTTTCGCTGCAATTACAGGTGCAAGTCTTTTTGGAGATGTCTCTACCAGCTTTGCACATCTAGAGAGTGAAATTTCTGCCCATTCCTCTTTGCAAAATAGCTCAAGCTGTCAGATTGGATGAAAAGCATCTGTGAACAGCAATTTTCAAGTCTTGCCAAAAATTCTCAATTGGATTTAGGTCTGGACTTTTCAATTAAACCCTAAGTGAGGGGATGAAGGAGGAGGAGGGGGAAGGGGACAAAAGCTCCACAGAGCTCTAAAAGTGATAATTTTTTACAGGACAGGAAAGCTGATCACCGACTTAAAAACATCAGGACTGAGGCTGCAGCTGCCATGCTCCTGGTGTAACTGCCTATTGCCCAGGATGTTTATATACGTATGCCGAGCAGCATGCCATTAATAATCATCTGAAGCTGTTAAAATGTATATACTTATCTAAAAATTTCAGGTAATGACCCCAAAAGCAGATAATGGAGATGGTTACATAGTTAGTCTGGCTGAAAAAAAAAAAATACAAGTCCATCCAGTTCAACCATAAAAAAAGAAAAAAAAAAAAAAAAAGTTATAATCCTATACCCACAATTGATCCAGAAAAAGGCAAAAAAAAAAAACCAAGCAAAGCATGATCCAATTTGCTCCTGATGCAAAAGAAATTCCTTCCTGATCCCCCGAGAGGCAATCGGATATTCCCTGGATAAACTTTACCTATAAATGTTAGTATCCAGTTATATTCTGTGTATCTAAGAAAGAATCCAGGCCTTTTTTGAAGCAATTCACTGAGCTGGCCAGAACCAACTCTTGAGGGAGTCTATTCCACATTTTCACAGCTCTCACAGTGAAGAAACCTTTCCGTGTTTGGAGATTAAATTTCTTTTCTTCCAAAAGGAAAAGAATGCCCCCTTGTCCTCTGATGACCTCAGGGTGAATAGCTCTACACAGAGTTCACTATATGAACCACTGATGTATTTATATATGTTGATCATATCCCCCCTTAATCTCTTCTCAAGAGAGAATAAATTCAGTTCCTCTAATATTTCCTCATAGCGGATCTCCTCCATGCCTCGTATCAGTTTAGTTGCCCTTCTCTGTACTTGCTCCAGTTCCCCAATGTTCTTTTTATAAGCATTTTGTCTTGTAAGCATTTCCATAAGAAAAGGCAGATAGAAGACTAATCTAAGTGTATAATTTCTTTATATAAACCTTTCTAAAAACAGATAAAAGGTCTACATTTTGCATTATTAAAAAAGTTATACACAAGGGGTACATAATAATAATAATAATAATTTAACTTTAGGCTTTGTGCCACTATTCTCGTTCTATTTGGGTTAATAATCATTGATAAGTTCAGGAACACAGTCCTAACCTTGGATGAAATCAGTGCCTCTTTATATCATGTTAGTATCTGAAAGTCTCTATTCCAGGAAAATGGGAAATTCCAATTCTAACCTCTACGGTATCTGAAGTTATTTCAACAGACAAAGAACAGTCTTCTGTATCTCTATCATTAATTAACCTCTTGGCTGGCACTGTACTTACTGGTAACCATTTGCCAATATCTCCTGTGTGCAGCCAGCCATCCTTGTCTAAAGCTTCAGCAGTTTTTTCATCATCTTTTAAGTATCCTAGAAAAACATTGGCTCCTTTGACACAAACCTGAAAGACAAACATTGAGTTTGTAATACTTCAGTCTGTTTCTCAGAAGATTGTTATAGTACAAATTTCTTTGTTTTGCACTCACTTCGCCTTCTCCTTTTGATGCAAAATAATTCATGTCTTCCACATCCACCAGCTTTACATAGTTGCAGGGCATAGGAGCACCCACATGACCTGTTAAGGAAGAATATGCTCACGATCAATATACATACAGGTGACATTTAATGCTGGATAAAGACTAAAACAGCTGCTTATATAAATGTAGAGGGAAGTGTAGTTGATAATATTGGAAAAACTAATGCCTATATTTGCTGGAAAAACAAAAAAAAAAAAAAAAAAAAAAAAAACAAGAAAAACCAAACCTCTCAATACACAACTAAAATACAAATGTGAGCTGATTTACTAAAAAAAAGGAATCTAATTCGTTTAGCCAGTCTTATGGTTCAGACAGAACAGCCAGTCTCTAAGAAAATCTGTAATGGAAAAATATGGAGGCTACCACTGTGGACCTATCCAAAAAAATTCTAGTTGTCTGGCTGTTTTGAGTCACTGGAATAAGCAGTCTGACTTTACTCGCTGCATGCTTGTTCCATGTCAGGAACATGTCAAAACATGTTAGTTTTTTTTTTTAATCAATACAAATTGGCTCACACTTGCATTCTGTTTGGACTAAGAAAGAACAGCATGCACATTGTCATGTTTCACATGACTGTCATGTTGACTATTATATACCTTTAAATGTTTCAGTGTTTTGTCTCTGCTCCTCCCTTTCCTTTAGTTTAGCTAATATTGCATAGATAGCCCTCCCCCCTTACCAGAGATGCATTGCAGCAAGCCTCATGGCAAGAAGCAGAAACAGTATGTTCTTTCAACCTAGCGAATGTTTATTGTTGCAAGATTCTCTCAGTTTATGGAATAAACTTCACAAGATCTGCAAGATATTCTGATTGAGTCACTGACTGTAAACCCCAACTGAGGTTGAAGTTATCGCTATTTCATTCCAACTGTAAGTTACAGAGATCACACTATCAATGCTTAGATTGGACACACAGAACACACATCATAAGATCATCCCTGTCGTGTCTTAATTTCCTAAATGATGCCATTTTGCTTGAGAGAACATGAAACTACATAATGCTTAATTCAATACGGCAAAACACACACACAGCAATTATGATATACAATGTTCAGCAAATGACATCCTCATTCCTACCCTTAATGTACAGTAGTCGCAACAATGAAAAATAATGGCTTGCGCTGAATTGTTCCCATCTGTGGTTTTCCTTTCAAAAGTATCTCCTAGGATTTAAAATGCTTCTTACATTCTGACTGCAGCCCCCAGTATAGGATGAGTGAAAAAAAAAAAAAAAACCCCATACATTCCGCACTGCCTTTTGTTACCAGAATTGTACTTCCCCCTAAAGGATATGAAATGAATAGAAGTCCTTACCGCTGAATATCAAAATCTATAGAATTGAATTATCACCACTTATTTTACATAGTTGCAGACAGCCAATCAGGAAGGAGTCAATTTTTACATAAAATACCAAAATTATACTAGATGACTATTTCTCAAAGTGTATTCACCTGCTGTCCAGTCTCCGGGAATAGTAAGTGAACAGCCAGCAGTGCATTCAGTCTGTCCATAGCCTTCATAGAACTGGATAGGGAAGAATACACAAACACCAATGCATTACAATCGTCAATTATAAAAAGTCTCACTAGATGGTTTAAAAACTTTTTTTTTTTTTAAACCCTTTGGGGAACCATGTGCATGTAACATTTGGTGCGATTTGGATCTGTCTAGCCGTTGCTAAACTGCTGCTAGGAAGAAGATTTGTGAGTGATGGCATTGATTTGTTAGTTGCGGCAGCCCTGCTATTCACAAAAGCTCACACTCCTGCAGAACTATGTGTCTATCTGTTGCTTCTTGTAAACATACACATCCCTGGTTAATGGATCACGCAGCTCTGCAATGCTGACTGATAATTCACTTTTATGAATGAACAGCTTGCTTCAAGCTGTGCTATAGAGGGCACTGGTCCCATCAGCGCTGATCACACAGCGGGGCTGTACAAGCGCCAGCAGATAGAGCATAGAGAGCTGCAAAGCTGAGTGAATATCTTAGGGATATGAATGAAAGATCAGCATCATCAGGTAGTAAAAGAACAGTCAGTTGAGAAAGGGGGCCAGGCTCTGTGCCGACTACACCTCCCTCCACAGGAACATACAATCTGAATTTAACAATGGGGTGGAGCTACAGTCAGCAAAACAGCTTTTAATCCCAAGTGGGGCCTATGATCCAATTAGGACCATGTACTTTGTTCCCTTCAGGATTAAATAAAAAAAACGAATAAGAGTTCTTTGGAAAGAAAAGCTGTGGCCAACAAAAATTTCCTTTAAAAAATACCAATGACCTGGGTTGATTTGGGACCGCATCACAGATGTGAAATTACCAGTTTCAGAAACGATCAGCAATTATTATTATACAGGATTTATACAGCACCAACAGTTTGCGCAGCACTTTACAATATAAGGGAGATACAAGTCCCCCCCCCATCATAAACATTATCTTCACAGAGCAGAGGATACAAGCATTTTACAATGGCCAATAGTATAAATGTAAAGTAACCATTATATCAACTTGGCAGGGGACAGCCCGGCTCCAGAGTGTGCCTGTACGGGGTCCCCCCAGCACATGGCTTACTGAGGGGGCACTCAGAGGAGGAGGAGCAGAGGTACGGGCCGCTCTGTGCGATACTATTGCACAGAGCAGGTAATTATAGCATATTTTAAAGAACAAATTAGGATTTACAAATCACTTGTTGAACAGGAGTTATATTAAACCCTTAATGCTAGTTGTACACATGTGGCAGCACAACGGTGGGCTGACACCAAGCTGCCACACACACACACATTTTATATTTATATATATATATATATTTATATATATATATATATATATATATATATATATATATATATATATATATATATATATATACACACACATACACACACATATTATACACAGTGTCCCTTGTTTGTGCTGGGGGCGCCGAGTGAGCAAGCTCCCAACTCAGACTACATTGTTACTGAGAGCTCTGTCACTGTTTACGATTAGGAGCCAATGGGGTGGACTTATGATCATGTGGTCACTGTTACAGCCAATCATACGACTGGGAAGCCCATGTAACACCTCCAGTGTTATGAACTTTTAAAGTGCTGCCTCCTGCTAGCTGAAAAAAGTTAAAGACAAGTATAAATAATTATAGAGTAGCAGCAGATATTCCCAAATACACGAACAATGACAAAATCGGCTTATATATCTCTGCTAGCTTGAAGTATATCTTTTAAATCACTAGGCACTCAAAACAAAGCTGAACAAGAACAATGTCCAGTACTTTATATCTATCTTTAACATTTTACTTCATTCCAAAATTGAAAACACAAAAAAAAACCCAAAAAACCCAAAAAAAAAACCCTGTACCAACCTGGCAACCGAGAGCTGCCCGCAAGAATGTTAACACGGTAGAAGAAACAGGAGCTGCTCCAGTAATCATAAGTCGTACTTTTCCACCAAGACTATTCTACACATAAAGAGAAGAATTCATTTATTTTACACAAAATGTATTGCAGTAGTCAAACTGGATGGACCTCTCCTGGGATATTGTACAGACTTGCTACATTTTATAGTCATAGCTATATTATATCAAAATACACAAATGTAGAATTTCAACATTAACAAGTTTACACCTTGGAAATAAAAAGAAAAACATGCCCTTCCCTTTAGTATGACACTGACACACACAGACTGACACACACCAACCAGGGTGTGGTAACCTGCTGGTATGGGGCAGTGAACCGAGTTTTTTGTAGTTAAGTATTTTTCTTGTAAATTTTATTTTTTATTATTAGAGAAAATAAATACAGAACAGTAACTAAGGGTATGTGAAATGGGCCCTTTGACCCTAGCCATACTGAACAACACTGAACTCCAGACAGACATCTTAAATTAACAAATGAAATGCATATTTAAAAGCCATTTTAACTCCAAAGTAGGTCTGCCCATCCCAACTTCACATTTACAAACCTTGGTCTACCTGACAATTCTACTGCAGTGAAGCTAAAACCCCTTTACTCCCACTGCTCTCTTCTCCTGTCAGCTAATGTGCATGCACAAGGCTGCATTGACTCCCATTCCTGCCCTTCCCTCTCCCAATCTGGAATGTCAGTATAAGGGATTATAGGTATAAATAGGAACTAAACATATTTTGTTTTTGAACTATATGCAATACCTGAACTTTCTGAAATATGAGCTTGTCCCACAGGCTATCCTTTCGGATAATTCCGCTGCGGAGCTCGGCCTCTTTTCGCTTTGAAGCAAAGTCTAACAGCCAGCGCTTCAATGAAGTATTTGCCTGCCCAAATATCTGAAGAGAAAAACATCAGTTATAATCACATCAGAAACAGAAGGAAGGATTTACTCTCCTATGTAAGCACTGTCAGGCATCTTACCCGATCAAACATTCTGTTCAACAAACGGGGCACCACTGGGAAAATGGTGGGCTGCAGAACTTTCAAGTCATCCATTAACAGTCTGATGTCTCCCTGAAAAAAGCCTATTCGAGCCCCATGGCAGAGAACTACAGTCTAAAACAGATCAAGAATTTAAACACATTTTTACATTTATAAACAGTTGATATACATTTTGTAAATGGGTTGATTTAGGTTTGCTGAACAAGTCTATGCATCTATTTTTAATATTCATATTAAATTAGATTTTTTTTTTTTGCTTTAGAATACAGGATTCTTCCACAAATCACTGTTTGTAGAGCATACATTGTAATAAGAAAGCCCAGCACTACTTGCTGACTTTGTCCATAAGGATCTGTATCTACTAGAAAAGAGGGGAGAGTTGTGTCCATTTGGTTATTTACACAACTAGTTCTCTAGCTAATCTGTCCTATTCACGATGCGGGCTAATAACCGCATAGAAGTAAGCTTGGTCAGAGGAACAGAGCAACTCTGAATGTGCCACCTGCTGTCTACAAGTGGTAAATATAAGATTTTAATCAATAGTATTTTATTTTTACTAAAATAGTATATACAGAAAATTATGTATTGCGTTTAAAAGGAGAACATGCTCAAATTTTAAAGGAAATTATGTGACTATTACCATTTTAAAATGGTAAAATTTCAAGCTCAGTTGTAGAACTTTTGGTGAATTTGTTTTAGTTTAGGACAAACTAAGGAAGACATAAACCATCTCAGATGTTTTGTCCTCACTTTGTTTGCGGACTTGAAAGGAAGTAGGCGATATCAGCCCAGGGGGGAAGTGGAGGATTTTAAAGATACCCTGTCACCTGACCTCACTTTTGAAATAAAAGCCTTGCAGCAATAGAGGATAATAAGCACTTGCATGTTTCCCCACGTTTTTCTCCATGTTGTACCCTGTACAACTTTAGTAGAAATATGACCACTTCCTGGATGTGTAAATTAACAATGCCGGCCCTTGCACCTGCCCCCTTCTGTTGCTGCTATTCAAGAACATAGTGGGCTACCTATTAGCAAATGTTATGATTTTTGTGAGTATTGGCATTTTGGTATTTATGCACCCAAAAAGTTATTAAAACAGTCATGCCAATTGGAGCAGTGTCATCCCTGCTGGCATTACTCTGCTAGGTGTAAGCTCCTACCATCAGACTCTGCCCTGTCAGATGAGATGCTGTTCATTGAGCCTCAAGCATAACTAAACAATATCAGGGGAAAACTACAGAGCCTCATTTGAGAGACAGCTTTGATTTTGCCTACGGCTACCGATGCCACTGAAGACAGTAGAGCCCAGTAGCAGTCTTAGGTCTGCTATAATATGATCAATAATTACAGGGTCCTCAAATGCACAAAACAAGGGAACGACAATCTTACAGGAAGATTGTTAGTGGGTTTAAAAGAGACTTGGTCTTCATACTAATATCACAGTCTGCTGTGTGATCTCTAAAGCCCCATATACACGATCAGAATATTGTATGAAAACCGTGAAACCTTTGTTTCTTTTTACATGAGAGCAGATACATCCTTCTAATAAAACATACAACAGGTCTTTCTAAGGTTTTACAATCTGATTGAGATAGGATAGTTATACACACACACACACACACACACACACACACACACACACACATTACAATCTGATCTCCTTTAGATCTACCAAAAACCATGAATATAAGAGCCTGCATGGAAACTTGAATGCATTGTTCTGGTTAGTCGTATTATATAGTTTTGGTAAATTTGAAGGAGATAGCATAATCCAGTGTAGGCCAAATCCCTTAGAGTTTTTTGTTGTGATCTTTGGGAATAAATAACTTCACAATAAGCTGAAAGAGTTCAGGGATGACCTGTTTGAAAGCTTTCACTGCCTTAAACAATATGTAGATAGTTAAATGCCTATTGTCTGAGCACAAATGTAATTTAGATTTAAATTTCTTGACATTGCTGAGAGCCATTGCGCTATTAAATTAGATGTAGTTCCAATTTGTCACACACACACACACACACACACACACACACACACACACACACACGGATAGGAAGTCACTCTCACCAGAATGTTGTTTCAGTGAGCGAATTACATCCATCTGAAGGTGTTCTCAGTACACACGTCTCCACAGAAAGGAATCTATGTTCTACATACCTTCTACAACTAGTTTTAACTACGAACATCCATTTAAGTTTTATTCAGCATCTTACCTGGACCAGTCTTTCAAACATGTGTGCCAGAGGCAAATAGGAAATGTGTATATCACTGGCGTTCAGTGTTAGTAAACTCTGGAAAATATGACAAAAATTGCTAAGCATGTGAAAACACAACGTGACTTGTGCCTACCTCTACAACTCTTTCAAACATATGTGCCAGTGGCAAAAAAGAGATGAGAACATCTTGAGTAGAAGGATACGCCAAGTCCTGAGCAGCAGGAGAAAGACAGTTCAAGATAGTGATTTTCTCAATTAAGGAGTATCAGGTCACCAAGGGTTTAAAACAGTTGATTTTCAGGGAACACATTTCATAGAAGAAAAAAAGTATAAAAACACAAGAAAGAAAGAAAAATTAAGCAAATCAGAATGTCCACCACCAAGCATGCTTCATTGATGTACAACTATTCATCCAGAGAAAAAAGGATTAATGTTCTCTGTTCAGGTCCTCTAATCAGACTTATGTACAATATGCAAATCTTTGCAAAGTTCACACTATTACTTCTACACTCAGTTTGCCTATACCACTAGACAATATAGCCATTAAAGGCCAACTCTACCTTTAAAAAAAATAAAAAAAAAAATTATAAATGCACATATATTTTGCAAAACAAAAAATCCTACACTTTTCTTTCCTGCAATCAGCCTGCAAAACATTGCAACGGCCATCAACAGATCGTGGATGCAAAGCCAAGCTCCTGCAAACTCTTCCTCCAGCTCCCAGCCTGTACCGAGATACAGGCTGTCAGAGAAATGGAAGAGGTAATAATGGGCTACGAATGTGGTCATCAGCACACTCGAGTTCTACTGAGAACTACAGTTCATCTCCTGCAGTGGCAAACAGCGATTGTACTTTATTTACAGATCTCTGAATGAATGATGTGGCTGTGCAGACAGAGGAAAAAAAAAACAAAAAACACACACACTTATGGGGGCATGGACAGTTTGGGGGGTGGTCCCATTTGTGCCCTGTACCATCCTAAATATGGGTGTAACATGGTGCAAAAAGTGGGGTTAGTCTTTAAACCCAATCACAAGGCAGACACAGACAGCAAAATCTGAAAGACTACAGCACAAATGAAAAGTTTAGGAATTATAGAGGGATAAATGACCTCCACATGAGGATTTCATGCTCTGGAGGAAGCCTTTTTGCAAATTTTTGTTTCTACTAATCACTGTTCCAAAAGGTGAACTCCTCTGTCCAGGAAAACTGATGCACAATGTCTTTCTTAAATGCCCTACAATCAGGCTATTTTAGGGGAAAAAGGGAACAGCATTCTGTATTTCAATCATTAACTATTAGACCCTTGAACCATTTTTATTTTCATATAACATGCATACCTACTGTAGGTTGTAGAATTCTGCATAGAGAAATGAAAACTGTACCAACATATTTTTTATTAAGCAGAAAAAAAAAGACTGATAACAGATTTTCCATCCAGGAGGACCATCATAACCCTGATGATTAGCACTATATATAGTCTGTGCCAAGAATAACACTGTGTACCTGACTGCCCATTTATAGCTTTACTACAAACATGAAGATCAGGTTTATCTTGTCTGACATCTAGGCTATTTGTTCACATTGGTGCCAGAAGCATTGGAGCATCCAGCATGAATGACTCTTCAGTGTTCATCCAGCTTTCGAAATGCATCCTTGGTGAGTTGGGGTAATGCAAGCTAATTGACAGCTGTAACATATTTTCCGTAACACACTGAGAATTTAATGTGAATACATGCCAAGCGAACATAAATATATGAACTGAGCACTACAACTCCTCTTTTTACTCAGCACCTGGCATTTGGTGGAAGGTACATGGGGTTCCACTTTTTGCCATTCATATCAACAGGACCTTTATAAAAAAAAAAAAAAAAAAAAAAAAAAACCCTCTCCACTCTGCAGCAGCGTCTACACTGCTCAAAAAAAAAACAAAACAAAAGTATAGCATCAAGCCAATTACACTCCTCAGATATTGATCTGGTAAGTTGAGTAGCAGAAGGGGTTAATTTCATGAACACCAAAGCAGTTAAAACTGATTAACAGGTGCACTAGATGGGCAACAATGAGCACCCCCAAAACAGGAATGGTTTTACAGGTGGAGGCCACCGACATTTTTTCCTACTCATTTTTTCTGACTGCTTGTCACTAGTTTTGCAATTGGCTAGGGTCAGTGTCACTGCTGGTAGCATGAGGCGTTACCTGGACCATACAGAGGTTTGCACAGGCAGTCCAACTCCTCCAGGATGGCACATTAATACGTGCCATTGCCAGGTTTGCTGTGTCTCCCAGCACAGTCTCAAGGGCATGGAGGAGATTCCAGGAGACAGGCAGCTACTCTAGGAGAGCTGAACTGGGCCGTAGAAGGTCCTTAACCCATCAGCAGGACCGGTATCTGCTCCTTTGTTCAAGGGGAACAGGATGAGCACTGCCAGAGCCCTACAAAATGACCTCCAGCAGGCCACTGGTGTGAATGTCTGACCAAGCAATCAGAAATAGACTTCATGAGGGTGGACTGAGGACCTGACTTCCTGTAGTGGGCCTTGTGCTCACTGCCCGTCACCATAGAGCTTGATTGGCATTTGCTACTGAACACCAGAATTGACAGGTCGCCAAATGAGAGCAGGTTTGCCCTGAGCACATGTGACAGACATGAAAAGGTCTGGAGAGGCCGTGGAAAAAGTTATGCTGCCTGCAATATCGTTCAGCATTACCATTTTGCTGGTGGGTCAGGAGGGATGCACAGACCTCTATAGGCTAGACCAGCAATGGGCAAACTACGGCCCGCGGGCCGTATACGGCCCGGCGGACCTTTTAATCCGGCCCGCGGAGCTAGGCTCCCGCAAGGCCAGTGGTCGGCAAGCCTGGCTCTTTACAAATTTAGATGCGGCTCTCCTGTGTGCCGGGCGCCCGCTCCCCTCCCTCCTCTCCCCTCCTCTCCTCTCGGATGGCCGCCCCCCCTCTCGGATGGCCGCCCCCCTCCCTCCTCTCGGACGTCAGGACTCTGCAGCTGTCAGGATGTAGGCGGGGCAGCCAGGATGTAGGCGGGGCAGCGTGACGAACTCCTCTCACAGTCCTCCCTGAAGACCAGAACGGCGCGGGAATACGAGAGGAACGCGCGGACCAAAGGTAAGTGAATTGACACAGGGGGGGGACTTACTATATGGGGGATGAATTACTATAGGGGGGACTTACTATATGGGGAATGAATTACTATGGGGACTTACTATATGGGGAATTAATTACTATATGGAGGACTTACTATATGGGGAATGAATTACTATATGGGGGACTTACTATATGGGGAATGAATTACTATATGGAGGACTTACTATATGGGGAATGAATTACTATATGGAGGACTTACTATATGGGGGATGAATTACTATATGGGGGACTTACTATATGGGGAATGAATTACTATATGGAGGACTTACTATATGGGGAATGAATTACTATATGGGGGACTTACTATATGGGGAATGAATTACTATATGGAGGACTTACTATATGGGGAATGAATTACTAAATGGAGGACTTACTATATGGGGGATGAATTACTATATGGGGGATGAATTAATATGGGGGATGAATTAATATGGGGGATGAATTAATATGGGGGATGAATTAATATGGGGGATGAATTAATATGGGGGATGAATTACTATGTGGGGGATGAATTACTATAGGGGGGATGAATTACTATATGGGGGATGAATTACTATGGGGGATGAATTACTATAGGGGGGATGAATTACTATGGGGGACGAATTACTATATGGGGGACGAATTACTATATGGGGGACGAATTACTATATGGGGGATGAATTACTATGGGGGATGAATTACTATATGGGGGATGAATTACCTATATGGGGGATTAATTACTATATGGGGGATGAATTACTATGCTTACTATGGGGGAATATTACTATACTTACTATGGATGACACATACACATCATTCATTACTCTTGGTCCGGCCCCCGGGTCCAATATATGAACCCATTGCGGCCCTCAAGTCAAAAAGTTTGCCCAGGGCTAGACAATGGCACCCTGACCGCCATTAGGTATCGGGATGAAGTTCTTGGACCCATTGTCAGACCCTACACTGGTGCAGAGGGTCCCAAGTTCCTCCTGGCGCACGCCAATGCCCAGCCTCATATGGCGAGATTATGCAGGCAGTTCCTGGAGGATGAAGGAGTTGATACCACTGAATGGCCCTCACGGTCGCCTGACCTAAATTCAATAGAACCTCTGGGATATCACATTTCGATCCATCCGACGCTGCCAGGTTGCACCACAGACTGCCCAGGAGCTCAGTGATGCCCTGGTCCAGATCTAGGAGGAAGTACCTCAGGACACTATCAGTCATCTCATTAGGAGCATGCCCTGACGATGTCAGGCATGCATACAAGCACATGGGGGCCATGCAAACTACTAAGTACCATTCTGAGTTGCTACAATGAAATTTCAGCAAAATTAACTAGCCTGCTACATTTAGCAGAGATCATTCCCGTCTAAAACTAATGCACACAGCTTTGCCTAAGTGTGACACAGTGGAAGACCATAAACCAGATACTGCGTGCCACATGTGCTTGCAACCCAGGTTACACTGAACAGCATAGGACACAAGTCTGAGATCTCCTTCTATACCCTTACCTTAAAAGCCATCACCTAAAACAATAAGAATGCAGAACATCAGTTCTACACATTGAGTAACAACACTACATTCACTCAGAGAGCAATACAACCACTTTTAGTACATGGTTAGTTACAATTTGGCAGCCCTAGAAGGGCTCTGCAGTAACTTTTTCTCTTCCAAGTCAAACTGGCTCTTTGGAAGTTGTTTGCACCACACAGAACATTACTGACACCCCCGAAAACAAGACAGTTGGGGAGAAAATTAAAGAAGAGCACATATTTCCACTAAAGACCAGAGGCAGAAGCAGATGGAACAGAAATAAAGGAGGATTCATAGAGCAGGGAACAACTCAATTTCATTAAACTTTAGTGGAACGATGATGTATTATTCCCATTAAAAAATAGTGTGTTAAACAGCAGATGGCAATGTTGAACAAGGTGTATGGGGTGGAAATGGTATTTGCAGGTACAATACTAATCTTTCAGCTGGTTTAAAACCGATCAACTGAAAGATGTTTTTATTTAAAATTATTCACAGAAGGATTAAGGAGGGTTAAAACAAATCAAGCATTGTATATTTTACATACAGGAACGTTCCTGTAAACTTAAATGAAAACAAACTATGACTCACTCTGATTGTGACAGTTAAACCATTAAACCAACAAAAGCAAGATAAAAGGATAGCAAGAAGCAAAGGAATGAATAACTCAACTAATATCTTAGTAATCTCACAATCACAGCCATGTCTCTGCAGAAGGCCAGATAATTCAGGCTGGTTATTTGCAGCTCTAACCTCAAAAGGCTACATTCACACCATTTTGATTTAAAAAGAAAAAGCATGTGTCCAAAAACAAAAATGTTTACACATGATACAGCAGGTAAAATTTTTTTTACATTAACATGCTTTTCTATTGATTTGAATGGAATCAGTCAAACTACAGTAGACCACTTCATTTTCATAATGCATTCAGTAACATATCCACATACCTCTGTTACTTTAAGGAAAGCAGCACTGTTGCTTACAACATTCTTATGACTAAGCATTGCACCCTTTGGATTTCCTAATGAGAAAAAAAAACAAAAAATAAAGTTAGCCTCAGTAACATCTCATGGGTTTTACCCTCTCTTGTAATACCATTTATTGGCTAAGTTAATAAAGATTCCTTTAGAATAACTTAGATCCCTTCCTTACATATTTCATACATTGCCTGAAGATGGTAGGGTTGTTACCACAAAGACTTGCAGCCATTCTGTTAAACAAGAAAAAAAAAAAAAAAAAAAACACACAACTTAAAATGCCAAACTTTCTGCAACGGTGACTTTTGTTTAACTTTTTTTTTCTGCATTGTCACATGGGGGTGAGGAGAGTCCACAAACTCCAGTCACCAGTTGGAGCTTACACAGGGCATTTCCTCTTCACTCTCAGCATCCAAGTAGATCCGAGTGGGAGTGAAGAAAAGGTAGGACTGTGATGCTGGCAAGGGGAAAGATAAGTGAACCTGTTTGTTAAAGAACAGATTCTCTTTAATGGCATTTTTTCCTAGAAAACATGGAAGATGCCATTATGGACTTCTTACTCTGCAAATGCTAGCTGTCTGGCTGTAATCCTGACTCACCGGTTTCAATACCCTAAGTGGCTAACCCAGAACGCGTGTGTTAATCGGGAGTTTTGACTGTTCTTTGACCGTACTTGTTTTAGATCAGTGATCGGTAGAATATTAGAACCAGCAGGTTGGCATTACAGCCACGGAACTAACATTTTCAGATTAAGGTCAGCAATAGCAGCCTTAATGGTTCTCCCATGAACCATTCGAGTAGACCTGTGGCTTCGATACAGCTATAAAAACAGCCAGGTACATAAATATCCAGTTAGATGTACTGCAGGGCTCCCAAACAGCCTGGAATACATAATATACCATGGTATCTGACCAACAACTCTTCTAGTCACCTCCTGAGACTCACTACTGGTGGATGAAGTCACCCATCAGATGGCTGAGATGGTGGGAGACGTTAGCAACCACTAGAAGTAATCACTACTTACATATCAGATTGTCAGGGTAGTGTGAGCTCATGGGGACACTCTGTACCAGGTGCTGCTTGTGCTTGGCAATTACACAGTGGGATTCATTACTACCCACCCTGGCAAACTTTATGACACCAATTATCTCCATGAATTCATTCAGCAACTCAGAACATCCAAGCAAAGTATAAGAAAAGCCCTACTGTAGATTTCAGAGAAATACATGCAATGAAATGAGGTGGTGTTAACAGAACCAATTTCAACTTCTATGAGAAACCTCTCCAGTTATACAAAGCTTTTTATTTTGTTCGCACACAGCGTGGAGAATGTGCTGTAGAGGATATCCAATACCATGGCACACTTTTGTAATGCTTTGTAAAAACTAATTAGTATGAGTAATATGGAATTCACCACCTAGTAAATTCCAGTGACTGTATGAAGAAGGGTGGAAAAAGAATCAGGAATATATACCCATGGTTCCATAAAGAAGCAATTTTTAAGCATGTCTGTATATATTGGTTTCAATATGATACTATGTAGCAAGCTTTTATTGGCAAAATGTTAAAAATGAATCAACTGTAGACAAATTTATTTTCAGGCATCCATGCAATTATAAAATCGCTTATGTAGCCAGGTAATATAGACCCCCCCCCCCGGGACAGTCTGAGGGCAGCTCTGCTCTAGATTTTCTGCAAGCTTGTGTGTCAGACAGATAGTGTTGTATATATCTACTGAGAACAAAGTGCACCACAGGAACTCGGGTCATTAAAGGGAAGGAACCAGAGATCGTAAAAGGTATACACATACATGGGCATCATTTAGTTTAGCTTGTAGATGCTAGTCTGAAGAACATCAGATGGAGAAAGAGTTTACAAAGCATTTATCAAATATGAAGCCATTGAAGCAACCTCCAGTTTGAGTTTTAAAGTGCTGAATATAAACCCTAATGGGAATGCAGGCTGCAGCTTTAAACAGGCATTTAACATTCTTTCTGTTCAGCATTCCTAAAGTTTGCTAAAAGCCTCAAACTACAGCTTCAAGAAATCCTGAAGTCAAATTTGGAAACCCCCTGTATGTGTTGTGTTCCCATTTACACAACATAATAAAATAAAGAAAAACAATCAAATCATACATTTCTAGTTTCTTTGGGGCAGGCCTTTGAGCAGACTGCAATCTGCTCAGAACAATTTGAAAGTGAAGGGACAAAAAGGGGATAGGCTGGATTTCCTCATTAACATATGATCCAGATTCCAAGCTCTGAGATCTTTAGAGTTCATCTTTTAGAGCATGCTACATCCATATTTAGGGTGCAACCTGTAACATGCTCCAGCAGTCACCACCAACTCCCCCATGCACCCTTATAGTGCATTCACAAGCCCTGCAGCTTTTGAACTGACAGTCCAATATATGTTTTTGCAAAGCATACTCCTTTTTATATTTTTTCCCCAAAGATGAACTTATCCTTTAACTCTTTGTTACGACAGAGTTCAAATCCAGTTTACAACTGATGAGAACTGCCAGAAACATTAAAGACGGGGTTAATTAAGGCAAACATTAACTCTCTAGCCCCCTCCCCAATATTACACAGCAGGAGAAAAGCTCCAATTTTAGAGTTTTCAGAAAAGAGCATGTAAAATGTAAGCTGCATTATTTTATTGTTATACTATATGAATGGGTACGTGTAATAAATATAAAGAAGGTATTATCCAAATTTGGCTGCAAAAGTGGAAAGACAGCTTAAATAGAGCCTCCATCTTTATGACCAGTAAGCAATGTGGAAAAGCAACAGCAATTACCAGTTGTCCCGCTTGTAAAGCAAACCACTGCCAAGTCCTCTGGCTTTGGTGGCTGTAAATAAAAAAATGAAAAAAATACCAGTTAACTGAGCCTGCATGTCAGATAAAATCTTCTCAATGTGTCATTCTATACTGCAGTCTCTCTCATCCAGGGGCATGTGAACACCTGGGGTAATTCATGGCTGTACTCAATAAGGCAAAAGTAAAAAAGGTATTTTTAACCTCTTTAAAAACAACCTTTAAACCATCAATCTATTTCTTTGTGCATACTTTTGTACTTTACTGCATTTCAAATATAATTATAAATACAGTAATACCTCAGTTTGCAAACACTTTGGATAATGTAATTTTTGGTTTACGAATGAAAATCCATTGAAAATAATGCCTCGGTTTACAAATTTATGAATTTTTTTTTGCAATACGAAGTGTATGTCGGTGCTGATTTTTAAATGCAATTGCTGCCTTTTTTTCCTTCGCTATAGCACACAGAATTAGCTGTCGCTTTCCATGGAGTTAAACGGAAACAGTTTCTTTTAAGAAACTAAAAGGAAACATTGTTTCTTTTAACTCAGGGAAACAAACTAAACTAAAAGAAAATTTTTTTTTTAGCTGGGGGGAAGTGACAGCTGAATTTCTGAGCTATAGTGAAGAAAGAAAAAAAAAAAAAAAAAAAAAAAAAGGTAATTACATTTAAAAACCATCACCATAAAAACGGCGTGGGGTCCCCCCTCCCATCCATACCAAGCCCTTTGGGTCTGGTATGGATTTTGAGGTGAACTCCCATGCCAAAATTAATAAAAAAAAAAAAATGGCGTGGCCCCCCCAAAATCTATACCAGACCCTTATCCGAGCATGCAGCCAGGCAGGTCAGGAAAGGGGGTCGCCCCCGCCCCCCCCCCCCCCCTGAACCATACAAGGCCACATGTCCTCAACATGGGGGAGTGCTTTACAGCAGGGGGGGGAGGGACGACGACAAGGGCCTCTTCCCTGCAACCCTGGCCGGTGGTTATGGGGTCTGTGGGTGAAGGGGCTTATCAGGATCTGGAAGCCCCCTTTAACAAGAGGGCCCTCAGATCCTGCCCCCCCCCCCCCCCCCCCCCCATGTGAATGAGTACCCATTCACAAAAAACAAAGTGTAGTGTGAAAAAAAACAGGACATGGTCCTTAAAGTCCTTTATTAAAAGAAAAAACTAAAAGAATGTCCCCCGCAGTAGATCCAAGCGTTATTTTAGTAGCGTTTACTTTTTTCTGAACTCCGAAACGGATTAATTGGTTTTCAATGCATTCCTATGGGAAACAGCGTTTCGGATTACAAATTTTTCGCTATACAAAACGTCCTGCAGAATAAATTAAATTCGTAAACCAAGGTATTACTGTAATCCTTTCCAGAAAGTATTTTCAGCCTATGTGCAACCTTCTGTACAAAATAATGCCAACACAGCGCTCACCTTTGGTTTCTCATGATGATCCCGCCCTTCCTCCTGATTTGGGAGACAGATTCATGAAATGTTATTAATACAGACCATACTATACAATATAAAGCAAAGCATATGGAATGATCTCATAATACAGCAAAATAATGTGATAGCCTCAATTATGTCCATTTTATTTAACAATTAACAGTCCAGACGGAAATCTCCTATATGCTAACTGGAGAATGTGCAATGAATGAATAGATTCACAATGTTACTTGCGGTCAAGATGTAAGGTCTGTAGGTAATACATTTAAAGGACACTGTCAACTGGACACAAAAATGGCAAAAAAAACCCCTCAAAATCCATGTCAAAATATATGAATAATAAATGAAGAAAAACAAGGAACAAAACAGCAGCAAATTTTGGAAAAATCAGGACTCTGCTAAACATTCCACATATTGCACTTTTTTGCTGTCCTCTTGCTATCCTTGTAAGAGGACCTTGGGTGTTATGAAAGGCTCCTACAAATAATAATATATTATTAATATTCTTATAAAGTGATAAACTGAGTCATTCATTTTTAGGCCAACGTAAAAACCATGAAAAATTAGATAAAATAGAGCTGATTTTCTAGCATAACTAAAATATAAATTTTCTCGCTCTCTTCCATTTTAAAAATCAGAGGAGGGCGCTGCCTGATGCTCACCTCCTAATCTACCAGCACATCATCCTGCCAATTTCACAAGGTTTAACATGTCCACCCAACTTTGCGTTCTTCTCTCATGGTAAATTAAATTAAAAGCCATATTTAAGACGTAACATGCAACAAGTTCAGCATGCACCCCAGCACTCCCTCCCCTCCCCCCATGACAGCGGGCAGTGTATTTTCTCCCCCAAACCCGTGCTCACAATTTGGAAACAACAACTATACAGCTGTGAGATTCTCACAATTTCCTGTTAATGAATAGACTACAAGCACCATCAGTCATTACGGCGGAAGGCTTTTAGTTCTAAAAACTCCAGGGCGCTGGCTTGTAATCTCAAAGATCACTAATCTTCTTCCTCTCCAGTAACTGCCTGATCACAGATGCAATGCTCTGCAGGCCTCTTAGAAAAAATAAAGGCATCTTTTACCTGCAAAAAAAAAATTAGCTTTTTTTCCCCCAAAAAGTAAACATCCTTTAATGAGAGGGGTCACTTTTAAGTGCACAAATTTCTCACTTTTAACCAGTTCCTGACCACACTATAGCCAAAAGGACGATACAGCGTGGTTCGCTAGTTCTGGGCGAGCATCCATGGACGTCATCCCTGAACCACACCAGGCGCAAGCTGTGATCACTGTGTCCTTCGGACACATCTGATCACATGTCCAGGTAAAGGGCCAATCACAGCCACCTTCTACCATGTGGATCAGCTGTGTCCAATCACAGCTGATCACAGTGTAAATAGGAAATGCTAGTTATTGTAAGTCCTCTCCTCACGCTGACAGTGCGTGAGGAGAAACTGTAAGCGGCATTTCTCAGGAGGGGACATCAACAGATCATCAGTGCCCTGATCAGCTTAGTGCCTCCTCAGTGCCTATCATTGAAGGATATTTACAAAAAACTTTATAATTGAAACTAGGAACAACTTTTTTTTTTTTTTTAATTTTGGTCATTTTTCGTTTAATAAAATATAAAAACCCCAGTGGTAATTAAATATCCCGAAAAGAAAAGCTCTATTTGTCTGGGGAAAAAAATGCTAAAAATTTAGTTTGGGCACAGTGTTGCATTACCACGCAATTGTCAAAGTGCAACAATGCTGAAAGCTGAAAATTGACCTGGGCAGGAAGGGGGTAAAAGTGCCCGGTAGGCAAGTGCTTAAAATATATCACCTTAAACAGCCATACAGAATACTGTCAATAGTCACCTTTTCTGCTGCCTGTGCTGCCAAGACATCTCCATGAAAAGTCTGCAAGGAACTGGGAGTGTATGCCTTGTATCTCCTGTAGCGCCCACTGGTTCCTCCTGCTGACCTTCATGCATTACTGGATACAGCAGTGTCATGCAGGTGAGCAGGAAGAACAGTGATAGCTGCTGGACACGCAGGAAATCAACACTTCTCAGTATCGGAGCAAGGTTCTGGCAGCAGAAAATTTACATTTTTGATGGTCTTATGTAAAGGTTATTGCCATTTGTGGGCGTTTGATAAGGTCACTAGGCATGCAGACCACATAGACTTTTTATTAAGATGTTAAAAGGATGCAGTTGTACTGAGAAAAATATGCAGGCTGCCACGGTTGACCTCGTATGATTTTTATATTCTCTATCTATACATACCGTATTTGCCGGCGTATAAGACGACTGGGCGTATAAGACGACCCCCTACTTTTCCTGTTAAAATATAGGGTTTGAGCTATACTCGCCGTATAAGACTACCCCTCTTCCAACGCACACCAAATAAAAATGAAAAAACATCAGATTTGATTTCAATATGGTATGGTATTTCAGTATGGTATTCCAATGATGGGGTGCTATTCCTCCCACTGACACCAATGATGGGGCATGATTTCTCCCACTGATACCAATGATGAGGCACTACTCCTCCCACTGACACTAATGGTGCCCCATCAGTAGTGTCAGTGTGTGAGGAATAGTGTCCCATCATTAGTGTCATTGTGGTGGGAGGAATAGTGCCTCATCATTTGTATCAGTGGGAGGAATCATGCCCCATCATTGGTGTCAGTGGGAGGAATAGCGCCCCATCGTTGGTGTCAGTGGGGAGGAGGAATAGCGCCCCATGGTTGGTGTCAGTGGGGAGAATAGTGCCCCATCATTGGTGTCAGTGGGGAGAATAGTGCCCCATCATTGGTGTCAGTGGGGGAGGAATAGTGCCCCATCATTGGTGTCAGTGGGGGAGGAATAGTGCCCCATCATTGGTGTCAGTGGGGGAGGAGGAATAGTGCCCCATCATTGGTGTCAGTGGGGGAGGAGGAATAGTGCCCCATCATTGGTGTCAGTGGGGGAGGAGGAATAGTGCCCCATCATTGGTGTCAGTGGGGGAGGAGGAATAGTGCCCCATCATTGGTGTCAGTGGGGGAGGAGGAATAGTGCCCCATCATTGGTGTCAGTGGGGGAGGAGGAATAGTGCCCCATCATTGGTGTCAGTGGGGGAGGAGGAATAGTGCCCCATCATTGGTGTCAGTGGGGGAGGAGGAATAGTGCCCCATCATTGGTGTCAGTGGGGGAGGAGGAATAGTGCCCCATCATTGGTGTCAGTGGGGGAGGAGGAATAGTGCCCCATCATTGGTGTCAGTGGGGGAGGAGGAATAGTGCCCCATCGTTAGTGTCAGTGGGGGAGAGGAGCAACTGCTCCTTATTTCAGTTCGGCAGCTTGATTTTCGCGGGGCCGTTCGGCTCCGCCTCCTCGCCGTTGATTGGTCGCCTGTGTGCGCTGGCGCCCAATCACCGGTGAGGAGGTGGAGCCGAGCGGCCGCGCGACCATCGAGCGGCCGAACTGAAAGAATTAGCAGCCGCGCTTCCTGGACTGGATCATCGTGGGACCGGGACCTGAGCCAGGTAAGGTACAGCAGCCCCTCTGCCCACCCCTGTACTTGGTGTCCGTTGGAGGACACCACCCCTGGAAAAAGTGCCGCCCTGACACACCGGCTCGCCGTATACCGGCGTATAAGACGACCCCCGACTTTTCAGAAGATTTTCAGGGGTTTAAAAGTCATCTTATACGCCGGCAAATACGGTACATACCAACACACACACACACACACACACACACACACACACACACACCTTTGTCTGATGTCTGCATCTTCAACATTTTTGAGCCACTGACCCAGAAGAAATAGGCAGATCAAATCATAGAGTTCATAAATTAAAAATCGGCACACCCATTCCATGTCACTACGTTAGGTGAAGCTAAAGGATTAGCCTGACAGTCAGAAGTAGCATTGTCAGAAGAGGATATCTGTGATGGCAACTTCTACCTTTACTCTGTACATTTGTTTTTTTGAACTGCCACTAACCTCTATTTCCTTCAGACTAATTATCTCCACACCACATTTCTTGCCACGCTCCACAAGATCTTCATCAAAAGGATCCATGAGCACAACAGTGCGAAGGACAGGCGTGTCTCCCTTTTCAACATTGGACAGGAGAACTTTAGCTTTGTCAGCGTTGTCACAGAATATCAATGAAATGTCCGCTAGTAAAAAAATAAACACATCAGCCTTCAACAACTTTCCAAAGAAACTCAAGATATGCTACTGTAGAATAGTATACTATATGATTAACTGTCCTCTACACCATTATTTTGTTTCCATTAGAGTAGGAAAGAGCTAAAACTCATCAGGTAATTTTTAGCATACCACTGGGGACATTTACTTCATTTCCTGTCCCAGAAACACAACAAAATGAAAGACAAAGGGAGGGGAATCCCACACTTGGTTGTCACCAGAACAGGGGTCTTCATAGGAAGATTTATCCCCACCTCCAGTGAGGACTTCCCTTCACTTTCGGTCTTAGGCAAAACAGGTACATAGCAATAAAAACCTTTAGAGGTTCTAATTCTTCCTCACACTATTTAAAAAAATAAAATTTGAATACAATATGAGGTCCTGCAAAGCCTGTGATGATAGGTGGGCAAAACATTGACATAAGCCTGTTCGTCCTACTGACACTTCCTCCTACGTGCTGTACGCCAACCCCGTGGGGTGGATGCACTAAGCCATGACTGCAAGGGATAGGGCAAGCACCATGCTAATGCAAGTACATTTTTCCTAGCACCTGAGACAAAAGCAAACAGTGGCAGGCCTGTGTGATATGACCGCTAAGCATGGTGATGATTGGTAAGAGGAGAGTTGGTGCTCCGATCTAATCACACTGTCACAGTTTTTTTTTTTTTTACTGCCATCTCTGATCCAGCACTGGTTACCAAAAGGGAAATGGCAGGTTTCAGATCACTCTTTCACAATGATGTGCTAGCAACTCAACCGGAGTTGAACATCATTGTGAAAAACTACTTCAAAAGCACATGGATATCCAGTGTAGAGATTTCCACTAGCCTCTACACCATTGTACTCATTTCTAGCTAAACATATTCAGCGCAAATTTTCCTGCCTTGTTCTTTGGTTTCCAACACAACAATGGAAAGTGTTTATGTAGAGGCGTGATTTCTGTGGATAAATGGTTAAGTGTGGTCTGGATAGTTGTGGGTGTGGTCACAATGTCACTTTTAATTGGATCAAGGGATAAGGTAGCATATACAGTGGGGATTGAAAGTTTGGGCACCCCAGCTAAAAATTTGTATTAATGTGCATAAAGAAGCCAAGGAAAGATGGAAAAATCTCCAAAAGGCATCAAATTACAGATTAGACATTCTTATAATATGTCAACAAAAGTTAGATTTTATTTCCATCATTTACACTTTCAAAATAACAGAAAACAAAAAAATGGCGTCTGCAAAAGTTTGGGCACCCTGCAGAATTTATAGCATGCACTGCCCCCTTTGCAAAACTGAGACCTGCCAGTGTCATGGATTGTTCTCAATCATCGTCTGGGAAGACCAGGTTATGTCAGTCTCAAAGATTTTAAATGCCCAGACACATCTGACCTTGCCCCAACAATCAGCACCATGGGTTCTTCTAAGCAGTTGTCTAGAAAACTAAAAACTGAAAATAGTTGACGCTCACAAAGCTGGAGAAGGCTATAAGAAGATAGCAAAGCGTTTTCAGATGTCAATATCCTCTGTTCGGAATGTAATTAATAAATGGCAGTCATCAGGAACAGTGGAAGTTAAAGCAAGATCTGGCAGACCAAGAAAAATATCAGACAGAACAGCTCGCAGGATTGTGAGAAAAACAATTCAAAACTCACGTTTGACTGCACGATCCCTCCAGAAAGATCTGGCAGACACTGGAGTTGTGGTACACTATTCCACTATAAAGAGATACTTGTACAAATATGGTCTTCATGGAAGAGTCATCAGAAGAAAACCTCTTCTACGTCCTCACCACAAAAATCATCGTTTGAACATTGCAAATGAACATATAGACAAGCCTGATGCATTGTGGAAACAAGTTCTGTGGACCGATGAGGTTAAAATTGAACTTTTTGGCCGGAATGAGCAAAGGTACGTTTGGAGAAGAAGGGGCACAGAATTGAATGAAAAGAACCTCTGTCCAACTGTTAAGCATGGGGTTGGATCAATCATGCTTTGGGGTTGTGTTGCAGCCAGTGGCACAGGGAACATCTCACGAGTAGAAGGAAAAATGGATTCAATAAAATTTCAGCAAATTTTGGATGGTAACTTGATGCCATCTGTGAAAAAGCTGAAGTTAAAGAGAGGATGGCTTCTACAAATGGATAATGATCCTAAACACACCTCGAAATCCACGGGGGATTACATCAAGAGGCGTAAACTGAAGGTTTTGCCATGGCCTTCACAATCTCCTGGCCTCAACATAATTGAAAATCTATGGATAGACCTTAAAAGAGCAGCGCATGACAGACAGCCCAGAAATCTCAAAGAACTGAAAGACTTTTGTAAGGACGAATGGGCAAAGATACCTCAAACAAAAATTGAAAGACTCTTGGCTGGCTACAAAAAGCATTTACAAGCTGTGATACTTGCCAAAGGGGGCAGTACAAGATATTAACTCTGCAGGGTGCCCAAACTTTTGAAGATGCCATTTTTTTGTTTTCTGTTATTTTGAAAGTGTAAATGATGGAAATAAAATCTAACTTTTGTTGACATATTATAAGAATGTCTAATCTGTAATTTGATGCCTTTTGGAGATTTTTCCATCTTTCCTTGGCTTCTTTATGCACATTAACACAAATTTTTAGCTGGGGTGCCCAAACTTTCGATCCCCACTGTATGTTTAATTATGTTCGTACTTTTTTTTTTTTTTTTTAATACAACCTAATAGATTTTGAGCTAAACCACATCGGACTTCTATATTAAACCGCAAGCCTCTTACCACCCTATGGGGTCATTCTGTTCTTCTGACCTCTTAGCCAGTCAATACTCTCATCACTCTTCATAAGAAACAGTGAGCTAGACAGCTACGAATTTTAAAGAGATCAGAAGTGGAAGCACCCATTGGTTATGTTTTACTACCCTGAGAAGTCTTCACTTTAAAGCCCTAATAAAACAACCAAAAGTAAAATTACCTTTGTTTATGATGTATGTAATAGCTTCAGCTCCTAGGGTATCATACAAAGGAACAGCCACCATAGAGTAGGTATAACAGCTCAGTTCTGTGATTATCCACTGTAAACAAAGGATATTAAATTAATTAAAATATAAGCAATTTAGCATATCCAACCTTGGTTTTTTTTTCAGATATATAGCCATGCATTTTAAATGGAACTGCAAGTTAAGGAGGCCTGGTTAGACTCCATGCTAATACAAGTGCAATAAGAATTTACTTGCACACATATCAGAAGAAAGGGTGGACAAGCATCACTAGAATCTATAGGCACACAATATTTAGAGCTCACTTATACATTTTGCCACATTCAGATTAGTAATTTATATGGATCTGAATGCAGCAATACACCGATGTACACTGCTACATTTTCATTCACAGCATTTAGTTGCATCATTCAAAACTAGAAAATGTGCATTCACAATTCTACATTTGGACAGTATTTTACACTGTACACATGTAAATGTGTGTGCTAATGTTTACATGCGTACAGTGCAATGGCCACTGCTCAGGGCCGACATGCACACAACAATGTGAAATCAGTGGGCACAGGTGCCATTGATTACACACGGTTTAAATACCAGCCCTGATTGACTCATTCATGCAACAGTGCGCAGAATGACCTCTGCCTTCAGTCAACTAACTCCCATAATGTTTTTACATATCAAGACCCAATTTAAAAAAAAAAAAAAATTTTCTTCCACATACCTAGCTGTAAAATCCATTTCTTGGAGTACATTACAGGACACAGAGCAGGCCATAATGACGACTATATGGGCTATATGCCACCTATAGGTAAATGGACACTAGCCTCCATGGCTCGGAGATCCACCTGCTAAAACCTTGTAAATTTATGAACCGTAGACCATGTAGCAGCCTTGCAAACCTTAGCAACTGGTGCCTGCTCTTCAAACCATAGACTTGAATGATTATCTGCTGAATCCACTTAGAAATAGTTGATTTGAATGCGGCCTGTCCTCTCCTGGATCCTAATAGCAAAATAAACAAGGAACCTTTCTAATCTGCGCCGGAATTCTCAAAAATACCCTTATTGCCAGAACCCCATCCAGGGTATGCAAAGATCTTTCTTTTGCAGACTTAGGCAAGAATGAAGACAGAACAATGTCCTGACTGAGAGGAAAACTAGAAACCACCTTTGGCAAAAAGGACAGATGAGGCCGTAACACTACCTTATCCTGATGTAAAACCAAACATGGTTCCCTACAAGAAAGAGCTGCCAACTCCGATACCCTTCTTGCAGAGGTGATTGCCACCAAAAACAGAACCTTTCGAGTTAGCAGAATTAACGGAATCTCGATATGTTCAAATGGTGGTTTCTGTAAAACTGACAAGACCAAGTTCAAGTCTCAAGGACACTGAGGCTGTCTGATGGGGAACAGTACATATCACCTCCTGTAAGAAAGTACAAACCAAAGAGTGAGAAGCAAAAAATCGGTCTTTGGAAGAAAACAGCCAGGGCTGAAACCTGATCCTTCATACAACAGCCAACTTCATTTCTATTCCTGATAGGAAATATGTGATAGGGTGGGGGGGATTTCATCTTTTCTCCAGATGAAATTCCCCCCAAATCAAATATTTCCAGGGGTGCCAATTTCGACCCTCAAACCAAGACATATACGCTTTCCAATTTCTATAACAAATGTTCCTAGAAACCAGCTTATTAGCGTTCAACATTGTGCGGCTAACCGAGTCTGACACTACCCTTTCAAGATTTGGGTCTCAACAGCCATGCCGTCAAATTCAGCGACCAGAAAGCTAGGTGCAATATAGGCCCCTGAGACAGCAGGTCTGACCAATCTGGCAGAGGCCATGATCGCCCACTGCTAGCTTGACAATGTCCATGTACCAACACCTCCTGGGCCAGGCTGGTGTCACTATCACCAGGATCGACTTGTCTCCAATCGCGCGTAATAGCCGTGGGAGTAGTTGAATCAGAGGGAAAAGCCTGAATTAGGGAAAACTGATCCCACGGTATCAAAGCATCTACTCCTATTGCAAGAGGGTCCCACGTCCTGGACACAAACCTGTCCACCTTGCAGTTGAACCTGGACGCCAATAGATCTACATCCGGGTACCCCCAACACTGGCAGATTGCCTAGAACACCTCAGGATGCAGAGCCCATTCCACGGAAACAACAGCTGACGACTGACAGTCTTCCTGCCAATTCTCTATCCCTGGAATGAATACTAACAGAACTGGAACATGCCCTTCTGCCCAAGCCAGAATGTGATTTACCTCCTCCTGAGCCCTCCAGCTCTTGGTGGTTGATGTATGCCACTGCTATAGCATTGTTGGACTGGACCCTGACTGGCCAAGTATGAAGCCTGGTCGTCCAATATCTCGGGGCAATCCGCACTGACCAAAGCTCCAGGATATTGATGGAAATGATCTTTTCCTGCGGCGACCAGGTCCCCTGGACTGTGGTCCCTTCTAGAACAGCTCCCGAACCCAAGAGGCTGGCATTGGTTGTTCATATATTATAGGTAGTTATTGAGAGGTTGTTAATTAAGTTGTCGTGTCACCCAATGTTTGGTTTCCATTCAGTAGCCAAAAAAGGCATTCAAAAAAAGGGGGGTTTGTGAAAAGAGATTCACAGAAAAGCGGCTACATTGTGAACAGACCGTGACACTCAGAAAATTTTCCAAAAATTATGCTTTATTACACAGATATAAATATGACATATGGGCATTCGCCCTGGTTTACCATCACCTCAGTATGAGACAATAACACACAGACCTAAAACCATATAAAATGACATCAAGACCGGTCTAAATGTATGTGCAACAGAAAAAGTGACTGCAAGAGTCTAATATCTCTGTAGTACAAACACATAGGTAAACACTTCCCTAAAGAGGTGTATCCAAAAAATTATACCATAGGTATACCATAATATTAAATAATGAATTTACACCAATATCATAATGGTGAATCCCGAACAGGGAATCCAAAAATTATACTATGGATATACGTATATCACATGTATGAAATGCAGTGAGCACACATAAGCGTAAAGAGGGGAACAGTAAGCCTCAGGCCTGTTTGGAAAAAGACATAAATGTCAAATATATGATGCAATACATTCCTGTGCCGGCACACGTGGTTGGGGCCCGTTCATCTGTTATGTGAACAGCTGTATCATAAAGCTCTTGAATGGAAATAAGCCCCATTTATTCCCAGGATGGGAGAAAAGGTGCAGATTGCAGCACTCTGTGATTTTGATAGAGAACTGCTTAAAAAGGAGAAACATTGGATATATAAACTTGATACACTGTACCCTAAGGGGTTAAATGTGGAATGTGATCTCCAAGTGTTTTTGGAAAAATAGGTTTATGGGACTATGTATTGTGCTCACTGCATTTCATACATGTGATATACGTATATCCATAGTATAATTTTTGGATTCCCTGTTCGGGATTCACCATTATGATATTGGTGTAAATTCATTATTTAATATTATGGTATACCTATGGTATAATTTTTGGATACACCTCTTTAGGGAAGTGTTTACCTATGTGTTTGTACTACAGAGATATTAGACTCTTGCAGTCACTTTTTCTGTTGCACATACATTTAGACCGGTCTTGATGTCATTTTATATGGTTTTAGGTCTGTGTGTTATTGTCTCATACTGAGGGTGATGGTAAACCAGGGCGAATGCCCATATGTCATATTTATATCTGTGTAATAAAGCATAATTTTTGGAAAATTTTCTGAGTGTCACGGTCTGTTCACAATGTAGCCGCTTTTCTGTGAATGGCATTGGTTGTTCCTCTGCAAAAGCCTTGAATGGAACTGCACAAAGGGCACTGCCCCGAATGAGGATACCATCTTCCCCATTACCTCACGCACAGACAAATGGAAAGATACTTCCTGTGCTCCTTAAATTCCAAACCTGATCTCTCAGGGCGTGGCCCGTTCCTGGAGACAAACACCTTTGCCTGAACAGTGTCTAGGACCACTCCCAAATACTCCAGACTGTACTGGCTCCAGGGCTGACTTCTTGAAGTTGAGCACCCAGCCCAAGCGTTCCAGAGTATAAAATTGCAAGGACCACATTTTTTCCTCAGGCTTGAACCAGTCTGACCTCTGAGCAGTAGAACATCCAGATAGCCCAAAATCGATATTCCTTGAGTTCTGAGCAGCCCCAGAACTGGAGCCAGAATCCTTGTAAACACTCAGAGCCGTGGCTAGCTCTAAAGGTAGTGCCACGAACTGAAAGTGTCGAGTTTCTATCACAAACCGCAGAAACCTTTGATGAGCTGTAAATATTGGCACATGCAGGGTATGCGTCCTTGATGTCTATGGACGCTAGAAAGTCTCCCTCTTGTAAAGATGCGACCACTGACCGGATTAACACCATCCAAAATTAACGAATCTTTAGGAACTGGTTCAGCCCCTTTAAGTTTAGACTAGGCCTTACATCCCTAGTTGGCTTTGGAACGGTTAATAGCAGTTTGAATAACATCCCTGCAACCTTTCATCTGCTGCAACCTCCATAATCATGCCCTGGGACAACAGCCAGTTGAGTGCATGAATCAAAGATTTCCTTCAATGGATTTGTGGATACATTGGACATTACAAAAACGGGAAGGAGGAATTCCCCAAATCTCCAGTTTGTACCAGAGACCCACTTATCCAGGACCAGCTCTTCCCAGATCTCCGAAAAAACAAAAATCTCCCCCCCCCCCCCCCACTGACACGAGTGGGGGTGCCCCTTCATAATGAAGCGGAGTTAGAATCTGACCTGGTGGGCTTCTGCACCCAGGTTATCTTCTGGCCCTGGCCCTGAAATTTTCCCCTAGACGCAGAACCCTGTTTACAGTGAAATGCTTGCCTAAAAGAAGAAGCACCAACCACTAAAGTGCCGGTCTCCTTAAAGGGTTGGGAGTTTGAACTTTCTCTTAAGGGGTAAAAGCATATTTTCCCCCTGAGATCTTCTGGATATACTTGTCTAGGTCCTCCCCACGCAATTGTTCTCCATGAAAGGGAAAACCTGCCAACAATCTTTTGCACGGTAGTTCTGCCGCGTAACTCTAACCACAAGACCCTGCGCATGTGTACTGACAAAGGCCATGCGAGAGATCTGCTGAATCGAATCCTTAAGGGCACCAACTGCAAAACACATCCTGTGGTGAATCTGCCAAAGCCACAGCCGTATCCTACTCCAAAATCGATGGTTTTCTAACCACCTGTTTAACACTGTCATTCAGACTCTGACAGATACAGATAGCAGCAACCACTGGTTGTGTGGCAGCCCCTGCCAGGGAAAAAGGCCTTGAAAATCGACCAATGTTTTATCCACCAGATCCTTAAACACCTGGGCATTATCCACAGGGCAAGTTAAATGCTTAAATCAGGGAAGAAACAGCTGCGTCCACCCCCAACACCCCCACTTTCTAACAAACCTCTCCACTGTAGGATACAGAAGGGAGAATCTTTTAGGCAGAACAAAACCTCTGTCTGGGTACTCCCAGTCAGCATAACTTGCTCCAAAAAGAGGCTGCACTGGAAAACGCCTGAATACTTAGAGGCGGCATTAAATGACCCCAAAGAGGAATAAGAAACCTCAGATGCCTCTACTGGGGGTAACTTGAAACCTGATTGGACCATATCAGTGAGGGTCTTAACTAATAACCTCTGATTGAGAAGCAGAAACCCCCTGCTTCTCATCAAGCTGCGACTCCTCTGACAAGAGAATCCGTTACCTGACCCTCTTCAGGATCCTCTACTGCAGGGGTCCTCAAACTGCGGCCCGCCGAAGCCATTTATCCGGCCCGCTGGCAGAGGCGTATTTGCTGCGAGGAAGGGACACGAAGTACAGGGGCGGGCAGGGCGCTACTGTATCTTACCTGGCTCCGGTCCCACGACGATCCAGTCTAGGAAGCGCTGCTCCTTCATTCACTCCGGCCACTCCCTCACTTGATGTTTGCGCTGCCGCTCGACTCCGCCTTGGCACACAGGCGGCCAATCACCTGCGAGGAGGCGGAGACGAGTGTCCCCGCAAACATCGAGTAAGGGAGAAGCCGGAGTGAAGGAGGACAGCTGACAGGTAAGTGTGCCATGCAGATGGTGCTGCTGCAACTTAGGTATGCTGGCTGCAGCAGCACCATGCTGGAGCAGGGGTCAGCAAGTTAAGTCTCATTTGTGTCAGTGGGAGGAATAGTGCCCCATCACTGGTGTCACTGATACCAACGATGAGGCACTATCCCCTTCCCCCACTGACACCAACGTTGGGACACTATCCCCTTCCCCCACTGACACCAACGATGGGACACTATCCCCTTCCCCCATCCCCTTCCTCCCACTGACACCAACGATGGGGCACGATTCCTCCCACTGACACCAACGATGGGGCACAATTCCTCCCACTGACACCCATGATGGGACACTATTCCTCCCACTGACACCCATGATGGGACACTATTCCTCCCACTGACACCTATGATGGGGCACTATTCCTCCCACTGACACCAATGATGGGGCACTATTTCGCTCCATAAGACACACTTGGGGGGAAATGTCAGTGCGTCTTATGGAGCGGTCGGCCCAGTATTCCCGCCACCGTTTTATGTCCGCAGTCTCTGGTCATCACCTGTATTGTGTCCGCATTTGTTCATAGGTTTTTTTTTTTTTTATGAAACTATAGTCCGTCCCTCCAACGGTCTGAGGGACAGTGAACTGGCCCCCTGTTTAAAAAGTTTGAGGACCCCTGCTCTACTGCATCTTCATCCTCAGGTTCCACACACTCTTGTTCAAGGACTGGTGGGCCCAAAGATGGTGATCTTTCCCGCCTCTTACCCTCTTGAGCCACCGATGCAACCATCCCAGCAATCTTGTCTTCTAACCCTGCTGATGCAAGATTCTCTTTTGTTCTGTACGCTGAAGTGGACACACAGGTAGTAGCCACAATGCCGGACAAATGCAGCGGCTCAGATTGACCTGTAGCCCCTGGTCTTTCAGGAGAAGATAACACAGCGGAACTTCGACTAGGCTTCACAGGTGGTGCATTTGCACCCCTTCCTGCTGTACCAACCCCACACAGCTTTCTTGATTACATTACCTCCACTAGTGTTAGAAGAACTGTGTAAGAATTTAATCAAAACACAGCATGAAAAACAGACCTCCTTAAAGTGAAGCAACACACTCCAATGCAATCCACTGCAAAAAAGGGGGTAGTATGTACACAACCCTCCTGCCTGACTGGCCAACCCTCTCAGGGAAGTACTCATGTGCCCTTAGAATAAACTGCCCTGTCCAGGGTTCTAGAGCATGCGCGAGAGAGCGAGGCCCCATAACTTTTAGTGAAGGACCAACCTTCACCCATCACCACAGGCCTTCCAGGAGAGAGAGCGAGCGACAGCGCGCAAGCACGAGAGAGAATGCACAAGCACACAAGACACACAAACGCGAGAATGCGAAAGAGCAAGACACCTGAACTTTTAGTGAGGGACCAACCTTTACCCATCATGGCAGGCCTTCCAGGTGAGAGCACGAGCATGCACAAGCAAGAGGCCCATGAACTTTTTGTGAGGGGCCAGCCTTCACCCATCACAGCAGGTCTTCCCCTAAAGACCTTCAAGGACACCGTCCCCCTTGTCCAGTGCTGTAAAACCGTATTACAGGCAAAACCTTGAGGATTCATCTCCTTATCCAAACGAGGCTTGAGTACCATCCATTTTGACTAACAGCTTTTCAAATGGATCCAATTGAGACCCTTGACTCCCAGCAGAATCGTTCCAGACCTCCCAGTATGCTCCACAGAGCACATGCAGCACACATTCAGTGAACATCCACCTTACAGACACTGGCGAAAAAACTTCCTGTGTAGGAGGGGTTATGGGGGGGGGGGGGGGGGGACTTCCTGCTTGGTCGGCCAATGTCCATTCACCTATAGGTGGCATATAACCCATATAATCATTATTATGACCTGCTCTGTGACCCATGATGTTTGATAAAGAAAAATAAGGCCTGTGTGCATTAGGCCTTAAAAGAACACAGAAAATCAAGTATGTGAAATGCTTAATTGTAGCTTTTTTTTCCTTTCCATAAATTAGTCTGTTTAGAGCAACAAATCTAAATGAAGATTAAGAATTTTGACCACTTCAGGAAGAGTCCATTTCCCAGAACAGCCTCCTCCCTCCTTGCATGTCATGGCAGTGTCCTCTTCTGAGAGAGTTTTAATGACTGTGCTGACCCAGCTACTCCTCTCACCTCCCTTATATAAAAGTCTTTACATAGCCGTCGGGCAGGAGCAAAGGGTAATCTGAGTGTTGTTCTATGGTGTACTCTGAAATTACATTACAGTTACCTCTTGTAGATAAATTCATTATATTATGGTGTATATCCAAAAACACTATTTTTTCCAGGAGCCTTACATACTTTCAAATCTGTATTGGCATGTAGACTATTTCTTCGGTGACTGTTCAATGTCAGATCGGCATTTAGAAAAAAAAAAAAAAATAATGTTTTTTTGAAGAAACAGAATCAAGGCAACCAAAAGTGGAGCATCACTGGGATTTCTGGACAAAAACTAATACAAGTGTGTGTACATTAACTTGTAGAAAATAAACCAGTTTGAATCTTGTAGCAGATCCTAAAAGGTATATCAGAACATCACCTTAACAAGCTAATTTGATAAACCTATTGAGAAAAACATAGGTCTTCAAATCCAGGATACTCGCTAGTTATGTTGAAGTTTATTCTACACAGTTGCACAGCAGGAGAATATGTTTCTATTCTTAAACTTTACTTAAAACACATCACACTAATAAAATTCTTACCTCAGGCCTGTTCTGAGCAAAAATGCCAATAAACTGTTCCGAATTAGGTTTACAGCCCCTGTGCAGCAAGGCAGACCCCACATATTCTGCTCTATCCGATACCTGGAGGTGAAGAAGCAATAAGTTTACAAGCCAATATCTACAAGAAACAAAAGCAAAATACAAAGTAAATTAAAAAAGAGAAAGGTAAGACTGCCTAGGTTTTACTGCCTTTTATCTCTCCAAGTCTAAGCATGAACATCTTCCACATATTCTATTTTTTTACACTTTATTTAAACTGCAAACCCTTCAAACATGAAATGTTAAAGATCATCATTGATCAAGCCACTTAAAAATGGTTCTCACTTTAAACATAAAATGCATCATAAGTTGGACTTCTGCTTCCACTACATTGAAAAGTAACAATAGATATGGGTTAATTTGCTGATCTCAGATCTGTGAGCAGTTTCAGATGTCACCAGCGAGAGCAATTTAAATTGGTTAGAAAACCTTTCAGAATCACTACCAACCCCACGATAAGCAGGCTCAGCAATGTCTGCCGCACTGTTCATTTCGTTCATCAGAGCTGACCTTAGCATCTGACCTCCCTCAGTGAAGAATATCACTCTGCACATACAGCAATCCTCTAGAGGAGGTCTTTAAGGTTAGTCAGACAGCATTCTCAGAGAAATTACCTGGGAAAGTGATCTAATACCCTTTATACAGAATTCCATCAGCAAGACAGCGGTAAACCGCATTATTAGACCTAATGTACACCTGGTAAAGAGGCATACCATATTATAACATATTTAAAGCGGAGCTCCACCAACAAGGGGAATCTTTACTATAAAGCGTCGTCCTTCGCTCCCTCTTAAGGATTGGCACCTTTTGGGCACGGGATTGGGGGCACCCAATGTGACAGGTACCCACTCCCACTTCCGCTGAGATCTCCTAGGCGATGGGAAGCGAAGGTTGTTGTGGTCCCCCCCCCTTGTCTTCTGGGACACGTGACAGGTCCCAGAAGACTACGGGGCCATTCACAAAGTGCAAGCTACTTGTCCATGAGCAGTGGGCACCCAGCTGTGAAGCCACAAGCGGTCACAGCTGGGTGCCCACAATGAAGAGGATGGCACCAGGGACACAGGACAGATGGTATTTTAAAATACAGGTATCTTTTTTAAAAGTCAGCAGCTACACTTTTTGTAGCTGCCGATTTATTTTTTTTAATTTTGACTTGACAACCACTAGTCTATAAACATTGTTCTGTTTTAGGACTACAGGCAGTCCCCACAAACATCCGATTCATACTTAAAGTGAATTTCCAGCCTTCCCCCCACTAAAAAAACATCCCAGCGATGGTCTCAACTAATCTAAAACATTCCAGCATTTGTACTAAAACGTAGTTTGAACACACACACACACACACACACACACACACACACACACACACACACACACACACACACGATTTTGCAATTCTGGGTAGGGGGCGCGAGCGCCCTGCCAATGGCGGCTTCAGCTGTCGATCACCAGGTTCTGGACGGTGATTCCCCACCAGCACTTGGCGATCGCCGAGCATCACTGATGGGGCAGAGGTCTGTATGTAAACAGTACAGATCTCTCCCGTGTCAGCTCCAGCACGCTGCTTTGTATGGCTCTGTATAGCAAAGCCATACAAAGCAGAGTATAAAAAAGTGAAGACTTGTGAGCTGCTACTGTATATAAGTGATGAATAGCCCAGAGTACTAATTATGAATTGTCTGCACCTAACACATACTAGTGTGTCAAACCAATGCAATATCATACAAAGCAGTGTATAAAAGTGAAGACTTGTGAGCTGCTACTGTATATAAGTGATGAATAGCCCAGAGTACTAATTGTGAATTGCCTGCACCCAACAAATACTAGTGTGTCAAACCAATGCCATTTCATACAAAGCAGCGTGCTTACATAGTAAAGCACAGTACACAGAAAAACAGATTAAAACAGCAGTTAACCCCTTCCTGTTCAGTGTCAGTGCTTTTTATAAGCACTGATCACTGTGTTAGTGTCACTGGGGATGTCAATGATAGTCAGTTTCCCCCCAGCGTCCGAATGCCAGCCACAGTCCCGCTGAAAGTAACAGCGCTGTATTGCAAATAATGGCCTAGTCAGGAAGGGGGGGGGGTAAATCCTCTGGAGGGCAAGTGGTTAAAAAAAAACCCCCCAAAAAACTCACTGTGCTCCCCTTAGCAAGCGCACTCCCATCTTCAGTGTGGGCATCTGAAGCCCACTCGTTGCTTCTTCCAGGATACGGTTCTGCTGGTTACCCAGCATGCAACTCCTGGTCTGGCACATGCGCAGTGCGTACAAAGGACAGCGCACTCATCTCCGCCTGGCATCACGTTATTTCCGGTTTGGAAATAACGCAATGCTAGAAGCGGAGGCTGCCCATTGACTCCTGGGATTGAGGACACTCCTATCCCAGGAGCGAATGGGCGGCTGGATATGACGTACATTCTGATGAGTAATGGAAATGCGATCACTGACATGGTGGGTGGGTGTAAAAGGTCAGGTGAGTGGAACTCCGCTTTAAGAACAGAGGCAGCGTGACATCAGGTAGGGCAGGGCGGTCATCTTGCGCCTCAACGCATGCTACCACCTACTGTTCAGCGGACCTGTCAGCAATCTTTCTGCATGCCCAGTTAAACCTTCTCTATGCTATCCAAAACGTATATTGGTTGGAGTTGCACTTAAAACATATACCTGTTCCAGCTTACATACAAATTCAACTGAAGAACAAACCTACAGAACATTTGTAACCCGAATTTCAAAATCTCAGGTTACCCTTTACACAACATTTAGGAAGCATAATTGAGATGAACACAATTGTAGTAGTCTCCATAATCCCTTGTAAACAAGTGCTAAGAGTGGGAGAAGGAGTAGTACCTCCATCAACCTCCTGCCAGATATATCTACATCCAGGCAGTGGACAGTGCAGGAATGCCGCTCACCTCCTCCCCAGGTATGATCAGCTGCTCATCCAAACCCAGGTGATCAATGGATCCTCCCAGTACAGCCTCCATCCAGGGACCCCAGCCCCACCCCTTCTGATGTCACTCTTCTCATTCCTGGGATTTAACCCTTTCTGTGCCCATTCTATATACAGGGCTATGCATGAAACAGCACAGCATGGTCCAGCCTGGGTGTCACCTCCCTCTGACAGTAGTAAGATGAGGGGGGTCAGAGCACATCTCATGTCTGATCACTTCATATTGGCTACAGGGAAGCTGGCCTCCCTCCACCTGCCTGTCAAACAGATCTTCATGATCAAAAAGGTATTGAAGTCAGGGGATCAGGAGTGATAGCCGGGAATATTATATTCTAGAAAGAAATTACATTTCCACTGACAGGTTTATTGGGGGTTCATTCATATCACATGCACTGTGCATAGCACGGAATGCTTTTTGTTAATTGCGTTGACATGCATATTTTAAACGTGTTGAGTTGCATGAGTTTTTTTGTTTTTTTTTTTCCCCCTTAAGCAGAAGCCAAAATCCTTTTTTCTGATCACTGGTTCACAACACTTGCAGTGTCGGAAACATGCATTTCCCACACTACACAAAAATGTGCCGACCCCTACAGACACCTGATGTAAAAGGGGGGCTCTGATGGGGACACTTATTTTCGTTTTATTTTTACATTGCTAATTGTTAAAGAAGTTAATTTAGTTTTGTAACTTTACCCTGCATAAAGCATTTAACAGTGTCATTTCATGAGATAATTTTCGAGGGCATGTTTAGGGGCAGAATTAGGGGAGGGGCATGGTAGGGGTTGGGTGGGGCAACTGGTGCCAGGTAACTCTTAAGGCCTGGCTAGTAGCGCAGGACTTAAAATTTTGAGCCGTTACACGGTGTTTTGTTTTTTTTTTAAATCTTGTACAATAAGATGGTATAATGTATGGCGAGCTTACCATTTGTCTACACTTACACACAAAGGCTAGGTTCACATAGATGTGGTGCGATTTTGCCAGTTTCAATGCAAATTTCAAGGGGTAGTTCAGCAATTCAGGTGCGATTCTGATGCACCAATTTTAGTAAATCTACCCCTCTCTGTCCAACTGAAATTCATACACAGCCATAGTGGTTAGCACCTCTGCCTTGCAGCAGTAGAATCATTGGGTTCAAATCCCAACCACAGCACTACCTGCTTGGAGTTTGCATCTTCTCCTTTTGACTGTGTGGGTTTGCTCTTGGTACGCCCGTTTCCTCCCACACTCCAAAGGCATGATGGTAGGTTACTTGGCTCCTATGTTGGCCCTAGTATATGTATGCATGAATGTGAGTTAGGGACCTTGGATTGTAAGCTCCTTGCGGATTCTTTATAGCAGATCCTATTACAGTCTAATGACTTGGCAAAGGGGGTGCAGAAATGAGCTGGCTGAAAATTGGTTGTCAAGTGTTCGATATTAACCTGCCTAAAATACATGTCCAGAAAATGCACACAGAACATTGTACATTGCCTTAGGCAAAACATACAGAACAAAAAAACTCAACCCGTCATTGTTCTAGTCCTGGTTAGACAAACAGGGACAATGCCATGAGGGCAGCTCCAAAACAGGTGCTAACAGACCTAACAGTACAGACATTGGTGTGATTGGCTGCTCCTCAATGACTTCACTTAGCAAATACGTTATACCTCAGGGAAAAAAAAAAAAAAAAAAATATTACTGGCATTCTCAGCTGTTTCCCCCCCACACACTCAGACTAGCAAAATATTTGCCCAGATAAAAGAAAAATTACCTCTTGGTAGGATATCCATTGATATGGCTGGTTAGGCTTCCTATGTCCTAAACAAGGCCCATTATCTGTAAGAGGAGAAAAAAATATATATATATAAAAAAACGGTCAAATCAGCGTACTGACAAACATTTTTGTTAAGTGTGCAAGAAGGATTTCACCTGTCTCACAATTTCACATATATAATAAAACATTTCAGCTAACTAGAATATAGATCGTAGATCTATGATCTGAAGAATCCTTAAATTGGTTGTAAAGGCAGAAGTTCCTCTATGTAGATAGTAGATATATGATCTGAAGAATCCTTAAAGCAGAGTTCCACTCAAAAGCGAAGCTCCGCTTATTTGCCTCCTCCCCTCCCTCCACTAACATATTTGGCACCTTTTGGGGGGGGGGGGGGGGGGGGGGGAGTGGATACCTCTGACAGGTACCCACTTTGACTTACAGGCTCAGTTCACCGCGGCGAAGTGTGACGGAAGTTCAGCCCCCTCCTCCCTCCCACAGTCTCCTGGGAACTCCACTTTAAATTGGTTGTAAAGGCAGGAGGCATTCTATGCATTAAGGTAAAACATCTGCATGTAGCTTACTCTCCCCCCCAGATACATACCTGAGCCTGATCCAGGGATGTGCACAAGTGCAGAGTCTCTCTCGCTCCTCATTGGCTCATGTACAAAAAAAGTGGGAGCCATTGGCTCTCTCGATTGTCAGAGCCAGTGACAAGGCAGCGGGTGTCAGGGCAGAGCCCCATTCTGTGTTCAGGGCTCAGGTGCAAGCAGCATGAACTGGTGCTCCCAGAGCAAGGGGTTTGCTGTGAGGGCACTCAGCAGAGGGGAGAAGGCAGACCGGGGACCCAAGAGGAGGTTCGGGGCTGCCCTGTGCAAAACCACTACACTGAGCAAGCAAGTATGATGTGTTTATTATTTTAACAAAAAAAAAAAAAAAAAAAAAAAAAAAAAAATCACCCGTTAAAATCACTTTAATATAATGCACAAGTCAAAGTTTGGTTTTCATGGCAATTTTGCCTTCTCATTCAAGATAATGGCCAAGTCAGTGTTTCATTTTGTACTGGAGGTTCTGTCTTTTCTTGGTTTTATCCCTGTGAAATCCCACCTCCAGCACACAAATTTGCCTCACCCCCTTGAGATCCTACCTCCAGCACATGCACATTGGTTTTTCCTCTGTAGAGCGCCTCCAACGCACAATCTTCAGTTTGTCCTCAACAGAGTACTCCGTCTACAGTACAACCTCCGATCACACAAATTGTACAGTAAACACCTTCCACGTCCTCTTCACAGACATTTCATAATAAGCTCAAACACAGTCTGGAGGTTCAGCTCAGAGTAAAGCTCATTTCAGCAGCAGCCCTCCCTACTCTTCAGAAGTAAGGTTTTTCATTACAGTGTTTGTGCAGAAAGTGTGAATGCAGGCTAAAACCCACTCTGAAGTGTTTGCCTCTCTTGCTGCTACTGTATAATTAGTCATTTGGTGAATGGGTGCTTAAACTAAACAATGGGGAGCCCTGTCATTTACCTGTACATCTTTGACCACATACTTTATGGATTTTTCCATAACTAGCAACAAAACTAACAATCAACTTTTGTGGGTCAAAAGATGACCTTTTCGGCTATTTGTCAGACCTTTGCTCTCCTCTTCTGCACATATTTCTCCCATGATACCCTTCACACTCCTCTTCTGCACATTCACAGTACAGTCAAACTTCACACTCTTCTTCTGCACTTCTGGTTTGCTCTTACCCTTTGCACTCCTATCCTACACATTCTTCTCCCTGTCATATCCTTCGTAGTCCTCTCCTTCACGTACCCCCCAATGTCATACCCTCACATGCTGCTGTCATACCCCTCCACACTCATCTCCTGCACATACTACCTGCTTTTATTACCCATCAAAATTCTCTTCTACACATACATGATTGCTGTCATACTCTACACTCCTCTTCTGAATATTCTGCTTGCAGTCATACCTTCCACACTTCTCTCCTGCACAAAGTACCCACTATTATACCATCTGCACATATTGCCCACAGTCATTCCATTCACATTATTCTCCAGTATATACTACCCCATAAGACACTTCCTTAGCATTGTTTGATATATCTCCAAGCTTTCCCGATCTGGTACAGGCACACTTTTTCCTAGAATCTATAAAAGGAAAGTCGGAATTCAAAATACTGGGAAATCTATTTTTAAGCCAGATGTCATTTCCACCCTCCCCTCTCAAAAGTTTAGGCAGATTTAAATATTTACAATAAGAAAGAGGACCTTGCTGTTCCTTCAGAGCTCTGCACCGTGGCCGTGACTCCTGCGTGAATGCGTAAGAGTGACATCATCGCAACTCAGCCATTCAAAATCGCCGGAGCCCGCAAACTCGGAAGAAAGACCTGGTAAATATGGAGCGATGTCACCGCTGACCTGGCTCCCATTGGAGGGCTTCATTTTAAGATAAGTTTCACATAGTATTTTTTTTCTTTTCAAGTTTACTACCACTTTAACATTTACAATAGACATTTTATTTCTTTCAAAGCTCTGATCCTTTGCATCACGGGCATAAACTGAACTGCAGATGGCCAGCTTTACGCTAGCCACAGACAGTGAAGTTTCCCCAAGAATGACAGGTGAGGGGATATCCACCCATCATCTGTAGCACCAAGACCTATCCCTTTTTCTTATGCAAATTGCCTGACAAATCTATGCATCACACATACAGCTAATGCCCTTTAAGCAGAAGACAAATCACTCTACATCAAACAAGATTTCAGATACACTTGATCTCAGGTAGCTCAGTAAGCACGCATTGCAGCCTTATACAGGTAAAAACTAAAAAAATTAGAATATCGTTCAAAAGTTCATTTATTTCAGTAATGCAACTTAAAAAGGTGAAACTAGTATAGGAAATGGACTCATTACATGCAAAGCAAGATAGTTCAAGCCGTGATTTGTCATAATTGTGATTATGGCTTACAGCTCATGAAAACCCCAAATCCACAATCTCAGAAAATTAGAATATTGTGAAAAGGTGCAATATTCTCGGCTCAAAGTGTCCCACTCTAATCAGCTAATTAAGCCATAACACCTGCAAAAGGGTTCCTGAGCCTTTAAATGGTCTCTCAGTCTGGTTCAGTAGGAATCACAATCATGGGAAAGACTGCTGACCTGACAGTTGTGCAGAAAACAATCACTGACACCTTCCATAAAGAGGGAGAGCCTCAAAAGGTAATTGCAAAAGAAGTTGGATGTTCCCAAAGTGCTGTATCAAAGCACATTAATAGAAAGTTATGTGGAAGGGAAAAGTGTGGAAGAAAAAGGTGCACAGCAGCAGGGATGACCGCAGCCTATAGAGGATTGTCAGGAAAAGGCCGTTCAAAAGTGTTGGGGACTTTCACAAGGAGTGGACTGAGGCTGGAGTCAGTGAATCAAGAGCCACCACACACAGATGGATCCTGGACATGGACTTCAAATGTCTTATTCCTCTTGTCAACCCGCTCCTGAACAAACAACAACGTCGGAAGCGTCTTACCTGAGCTAAAGAAAAACAGACCTGGTCTGTTGCTCAGTGGTCCAAAGTCCTCTTTTCTGATAAGAGCAACTTTTGCATCTCATTTGGAAATCAAGGACCCAGAGTATGGAGGAAGAATGGAGAGGCACACACTGCAAGATGCTTGAAGTCCAGTGTGAAGTTTCCACAGTCTGTGTTGATTTGGGGAGCCATGTCATCTGCTGGTGTTGGTCCACTGTGCTTCATTAAGTCCAGGGTCAACGCAGCCGTCTACCAGGAGATTTTGGAGCACTTCATGCTTCCTTCCGCAGACGAGCTTTATGGGGATGCTGACTTCATTTTCCAGCAGGACTTGGTACCTGCCCACATTGCCAAAAGCACCAAAACCTGGTTCAATGACCGTGGGATTACTGTGCTTGATTGGCTAGCAAACTCGCCTGACCTGAAGCCCATACAGAATCTATGGGGCATTGCCAAGAGAAAAATGAGAGACATGAGACTGAACAATGCAGAAGAGCTGAAGGCCGCTATTGAAGCATCCTGGTCTTCCATAACACCTCAGCAGTGCCAGAGGCTGATAGCTTCCATGCCACACCACATTGAGGCAGTAATTGCTGCAAAAGGGGCCCAAACCAAGTACTGAGTACATATACACGCTTATACTTTTCAGAAGTCCGATATTGTTCTATGTACAATCCTTGTTTTATGGATTGCATGCAATTCTAATTTTCTGAGATTGTGGATTTGGGGTTTTCATGAGCTGTAAGCCATAATCATCACAATTATGATAAATCATGGCTTTAACTATCTTGCTTTGCATGTAATGAGTCCATTTCATATATTAGTTTCACCTTTTAGGTTGCATTACTGAAATAAAATGAACTTTTGCACAATATTCTAATTTTTTCGAGTTTCATTTGTATAGTACAAATCCTCCCCTAGGTGCCAGATCAGTAACGCATGGTCACACATACTTGCTTTATAGGATGAGATGCACAAAATCCAATAACTTAGAATGAACACGAGGTAAAATTTAAAAATGGGGAAAAATGTCTGTGCGTCTTATGGAGCGAAAATAGAGCAGCCGGCCTGGTATTCCTGCTGCCGCGTTAGAATACTGGGCCGGCCGCTTGGCTCTTCTGTGCAGCAGAACCTGCTCCTCAGTTCTACCTGTTCCTCGGTCCAGCGATGTCCTCACTGTCTTCTCTCCCTGGCGCCGGCATCTTTAGTGTGGGCACCTGGCTGTGACAGCTTGCGGCTTCACAGCCGGGTGCCCACTGCACATGCGTGAGAAGCGCTGCGCTTTGTGAATGGTCCGGCAGCCTTCTGGGACCTGTCATGTGTCCCAGAAGACGGGGAGGGAGGACAACTCCACGGAAGTGGGAGCAGGTACCTGCTCCCCCCTTCCGCTCCCCAAAAGGTCCGCAGTCTCTGCTCATCGTGTACTATGTCCACAATCTCTGCTCATCTCCTGTACTATGTCTGCAGTCCATTGGTTCAGAATATTTTTTTTCTTGTTTTCCTCTAAAACCTAGGTGCGTCTTATGGAGCGACATATACAGTAATTCACCGGCTATTCAACTGAGTAAGAATGCAGAAAATCAAAACACTGCTTGATTGGATCCAAAATTTTTCCAAGCACATTAAGCAAAATCTAAAAAAGGAAGGATCTGGAAGTTGAAAGTATACATAGTAGACTCAACCCACAAATAGCAGAATAGAAAATACGTGTAAAACTGTAAGGTGAGCTTACTTGACACTCTTCTTCCTCTCTGGAAAACTTCATAGACTGTTCTGACATCATCATAGTAGTAGGTCACAACTTCATCACTATCCAGCAGTGCAGATCTGCGGGCATTCTCATGTCCCTGTATAAATAAGATCTGATTAACAAGGATTACTGAATCATTAATTAAAAAGCAAGATTTAATAAACCTGCAGAGACAAGTATGGAATGTAATTGGCAAAACATTAACTCGGTTAATGCATGCTTCACTTCCTGCACTATTTTTCCCCACTTAAAGCTGAACTCTAGGCAGATATAAGAGACATACATTACTACCCATCTAGTAATGAAGACAGCAGTAACAAGCAAGCTGTGTAAGTAGTGGACTTTGACCTGGTATCAGCCTACTGCAGTCCCTATAAAAGGCAGGGTTGCAGAGTCAGAGGAAGAAGCAGTACATCCAGTAAAGTTCATTTGCTGACCAGAAGCATGCCGATAGGAGGAGAAAGCAGAATGACAGATGAGCACATGACTGTGCTGCTACTCTTTTTACACTCCAATAAAAGGCTGTGGCAGGTTTAGGAGGCCCTGGGCTCAAAGGAAGTGGGTTGAATGATTCTTGCCCACAGACTAGGAATATCTAGTGGCAGCAAACAGAAAAAAAAAAAAAAATATTAGGATGTGAAAATCTCTAAACTAAAGACTGCATCAAAAGTTGGTTTGTTAGTTTAAGTTTTAAAGTGCTACAGGGATGTTAAATTCATATCGGCCAACGCCCGGGACACGTACTGCGATGTGCACTGCATTGCATTCAGTGGAGCACAGGGGAGACATGCAGGGTCTTTTAGACACTGGATGTCTCAAAAAGAGAACCTGTCAAAGTCATCACATTGGGAACTTTTTGTCCCATTTATTTAAAAAAAAAAGCCAAGTAGAAAAAAAGGATTTTTTTTTTTTTTCACATTTTTAAAAAATTAAAGTTACACTCAAGCATACCCTCCCTCAAGGCCTCCCACATACGTACACATGTAAAAACGTAACAGCACACGCTGGGGAGCCTATGCATGAAGACGATTGCGATACACGTTACAGAATAAGAGCAATAATTCTAGCACCAGACCTCCTCTGTAACACTTAACTGATGACCTATAAAGGGGCTTTAAAAGCGTCACCTATAGAAAATGATAGGGTTACTAAAGTTTGTTGCTATTTCACGAGTGCACGCAAATTAAAAGGTTTGACATGTTGGATATCTATTTACTCGATGCAACCTGGTCTTTTATATTTTACAAAAAAAAAAAAAAATTATTTATTTCTGTGTGTCCTAAAATTAACTTGTGTACTTTTTACTAAAATTTTGCAATTCCTAGACCTTTGTGATATCGTGTGACAAAAAATTGGAACTACCACTATTTTATTCTCTATGGTGTCAGCTTTCAGAAAATATATAATGTTTGGGGGTTTTTTATGTAATCTTCATGCCTAAAATTAATTTTTAAACGTGTGCAAAAAAGGGCCCTGACAGCAAAAGGGATAAAGGATAAACCCGACACTCCCCTTTCCCGACGAGCAGCCAATTGGTGCTCATTACACTGCAAGGTCTCTCCCCTCCCCGCTAGTCCCTGGGTGCAGTGCTGGAGAGAGGCAGGGAGGAGGAGATAAACAGCACAATGTTACAAATATTAAACATTTAAGTCGCCTAAAGCCCTGTTTTTAAAAGCCCCAGACATTACTTAAAGCAGAATTAAAATACGGTTTTGGTTAAAATGTATTTTTTAATCATGAGGGACAAGTAGATTAGGACCCCGATTTAGTCCCTGGACAGGTAGTTTTTTCAAACATTTTCACACTCCTGTGCTATTCATTTTTATTTATGGTTGGAGTTATGCTTTAAGTAAACAGAATAAAAGCAAAAAGGCCTAGAAAATTGTCATTTGTAGAAGAACATCCAATGCTCCATATAATATAAATGACCTACAGTAGGAATAATAAATACAGTACACTTACAATATAAAAAACAGAAGTATCACAGATAACTAGAAATATGGAAATGTGACAGCCATGAAAGCATAGCATGTTGTCAAAGACAAAAGATACACAGACCCTTAAAAACGCCAGCAAATACAAATATTAAATTTTCTTTACATTCTCCTCTTGGACAGGAAAGCATTTGATACAAAACAGCAGACACCTGTTCAACAGAAAGAGCTAGGTTGACATTTGCGTGCTGCAGCACACACAAAAATATGCATTAGTTTGAATTCCCATTCCCATGTGGTGGTGCCATTCTTTTGAAAAGCTGAACTAAATTCAAAAATACCTACCTCTGTTCCAACAGTGAAACCCACGAGAAGTCTTTGATTGGTTGGTGCACCATAACATCACTCCCATCCATGCACAGAAAGTGCATTCATTCTGGCTCACATGCGCTGTGCCAAAATGTAAACCGAGCTGCATATGCAATGCTCAGTGTACATTCTACAGAGGACTGCAACTGGCAGATAACTATTTATTGAAAAGAGAAATTGCAGAGCCTACCTTTTTGTAATTTTTTTCCAAGTTCACTTGCTGACAGGATGAGAAAGAGTGCATTTTTTTGGGCATGCAAAAGTACATGGTAACAAAATGCCATGCACTTTGGAGCAAGGCGATTTTAAAAAGGGTCCTGCACTTTTGTGCAGGCCTCTTCCTGTGGGCTTGATGCCAAGAAAATGAATCTTAAGCCTACAACCACTTTAAATTTTTGGATAAAAAAAAAAAAAACCACATACAACAACAACACAACAGTTCCTTAACCACCTGCCTACCAGGCATCTTTCCTTCCTGCCCAGGCCAATTTTTTAAGCTTTCAGCTGTTGCACTTTGAATGGCAATTGTACAGTCATGCAACACTGTACCCATATGAAATTTCTATAATTTTTTTCACAAATAGAGCTTTCATTTGGTGGTTTTTAATTGCCACTGGGTTTTTGTGCACTATATAAAAAACACAAAAAAATTCTTTATTTCTATTATAACATTTTTCTAACCAGTAAAATTTTCTCCTTCACTGATGTGCGTTGATGAGGCTGCACTGATGGGAATTGATGAGCAGGTACTGTTGCTGCTGCACTAATATGCAGCACTGAAAGGCGGCAATGCACTGATAATCACTGCCCTGATTATCAGTGCAGATGTCCTTTGTGACACTTGCCGGTTATTGGCAATACTTTCCTCACGCTGTGACAGTGCGAGGAAAAAAAGTACTGGCGATAACCAGCAACTGTATTTACTTTATGATCAGCTGTGTCATTGGACACAGCTGATTACCTGGAAAAAGTCTGCTGTGATTGGCCTTTACCTTGTCATGTGATCAAATATGTCCGTAGGACACAGCAATCACAGATAGCGCCGGGTGCGTGCTGCTGGGGGCGCGTTCTGGGAGGGAGTCATATGGGAGCCCTACCAGAACTGGACAACTGCACTATAGCCATTCATTCGGCTATAGCCCAGTTGTCAAGTGGTTGCAAACATTAGTCAATCCAGTATATACACTTGTAAACTGGTCGAAATACATATGCCATGCAACTGGGGAAAGGAAATGCACTTCTTAAATGGTATTGAACATAAAGTGCATCCAGAAAGTATTCACAGAGCTTAACTGTTGCCACATTTTTGTTATGTTACAGCCTTATTCCAAAATGGATTAAAATGCATTTTTTTCCCTCAGCATTCTACAAACAATACCCCATAATGACAACGTGAAAGAAGTTAATTTTGAAATCTTTGCAATTTATTAAAATTAAACAAAAAAAAAAAAAAACTCATGTACATAAGTATTCACAACCTTTGCTCAATACTTTGTTGAAGCACCTTTAGCACCAATTACAGCCTCAGGTCATTTTGAGTATGATGCTACAAGCTTGGCACACCTATTTTTGGGCAGTTTCTCCCATTCTTCTTTGCAGTACTTCTCAAGCTCCATCAGGTTGGATGGGGAGCGTCAGTGCACTGCCATTTTCAGATCTCTCCAGAGATGTTCAAAATCAGGTTCAAGTCTGGGCTCTGGCTGGGCCACTCCAGGACATTCACAGAGTTGGTCCGTAGCCACTCCTTTGTTATGTAGGCTGTGCACTTAGATTGGGGCAACTGTTCATCTTTCAACAGGACACGGAACCTAAGGTCCAGAGCACTCTGCAGCAATGTACATAGACATCCTTGATGAAAACCTGTTGCATTCATCTTTCCTTCGATCTTGACTAGTCTCCCAGTTCCTGTCGCTGAAAAACATCCCCACAGCATGATGCTGCCACCACCATGCTTCACTGTAGGGATGGTATTGGCCAGGTGGTGAGCAGTGCCTGGTTTCCTCCAAACATGACATTCAGGCCAAAGAGTTCAATCTTTGTTTCATCAGATCAGAGAGTTTTGTTTGTCATGGTCTGAGAATCCCTCAGGTGCCTTTTGGAAAAACTCCAGGAGGGCTGCCATTTGCCTTTTACTAAGGAGTGGCTTCCATCTGGCCACTCTACCATACAGGCCTGATTAGTGGAGTGCTGCAGAGATTGTTGTTCTTCCGGAAGGTTCTCCTCTCTCCACAGAAAAACGCTGGAGCTCTTTCAGAGTGACCATCGGGTGCTTGGTTACCTCCTGGCTAAGGCCCTTCTCCCTCGACTGCTGATTTTGGCCAGGTTGTCTGCTCTACGAAGATTCCTGGTGGTTCCAAACTTCTTCCATTTACGGATGAATTTTTCTGTACCCTTCCCCAGATCTGTGCCTTGATACAATCCTGTCTCAGAGGTCTACGGACAAATCCTTGGACTTCATGCCTTGGTTTGGGCTCTGACATGCATGGTTAACTGTGGGACCTTATATAGACAGGTTTATGCCTTTCCTAATCATGTCCAATCAACTGCATTTCCCACAGGTGGACTCCAATCAAGTTGGGGAAACATCTCAAGGATGATCAGTGGGAACAGGATGCACTACAGCTCAATTTTGAGTGTCATAGCAAAGGCTGTGAATATTTATGTACATTGTTTTTTTTCGTTTATTTGTAATAAATTGCAAAGATTCAAAACAATCTTCTTTCTTTCATGTCATTATGGGGTATAGTTAGTAGAATATTAAGGAAAATAAAAGAATTTAATCCATTTTGGAATA